AAAAGGTCATAGTATTGAACTCTGAGTGATCCCACAAAGGTATCCCGTAAACTGGGATAATGTGAAGTTTACTTCGACACTAAAATGTCGATTATTTAAACATGAAGTACATCAATCAAGTAATTGTGATTTGATACAAAATCGTTTGAGCTTGTTGGCAAGACACACGATTGACCTTTCCGAAAGCTTTTTTAAGTCATGGAATATGACGTTTACCTTCCCCTTGCGAAGAAGAATGGTTATTTGTCTGAACAACACGGCCAATAGGTTGGTCATACATGAGTGGATCAAAATAAGGACCCTTCTGCGTCTCTCATATCCAAAGGAGTGCAGTGCTTGCATTCCCACTCATTATTTGTAAAATAGGAACTTCAACATTAGCTCCGGAATGTCACATTCGTTGTGGGTTACTTAGTGGGGTGAACCTTTGAGGTTCAGGAAGCTTGGTTTTAGTTGGGTGACCACGAACGTTTGTTTTATTGTATCAAATCAACGAATCGCCTCGTATTCGCCTGTGATTTGACAAGAACGATCATGGGCGACTAAGGCGGTCTTCGTAGAGTTTGTCCCTGAATCCAGTAACTCCTGAATATGGCGATTACGTTTATGTTTTAAGAGATTCAGATCGCTAAAAGTTGCAGATTCGTCAGATGAATGCTTGGATGTAATCCAGTAAAGCCTAGAACCAACTTGATTTTAGGACCACTTAGCCCACAATATTGTCAACGACCATGGCCGATGTTGTAGCTTGACACCGTATATCACACCTTGAAAATTCTTTGACCATCTAACAAAACAGGATATTGAGTACTAATGTGACACAAGGGCTCAGAATCCTAAGTTGCTGCTGGAGTGATCATAGAGCATGGGTCGCGGTATCAGATTCCCTCTGATTCTACGTTGAGTCGGGTGAAATTGTGCTTCAACGGAGCAAACTTTAACTCTGGGGCACAGCGATCGCATACTGAATACCAGGATTCAATAGTTACAACGACGTTTACTTCTATAGATGAAAAAATGTGCTGATTATTAGTGACATTTTTTCTGCGTTAAATCTAACGTTTGATGGCATTTTCGGTTTCAGACTGTTTTGGTTTAATTTTTGGGAAATTGTGCTTCGACAATCTAAAAATCGACGATTTATTTGTGACTGTTATAATATTTATAACAAAAATGTTTCTGGGTTGATGTACTTTACGAATAAATCATATTATCTGGACTGGGATAATGTTTTTTCGATATTTTGGTCGTAAATTACGAACGTACCGACTTAGCATGATTCAATTACAGACTAGAGCAATATTCAGATATAACACGAAAGTTGCTTAATTCTATTTTCTGAATTTTCTGAATCATGTTCTTCGAAAGTTCCTTTTGGATCAACCTTTTTGGTTATACCTGTAGATTTCTTTGAAATTTCTTCTACGTTTGTATGAAATAATTGTCTTTTTGGGACACAGCTGATAAAAACGAGGATCAAAAGAGAATCCAGCATTGTAAGGTGAGCTTCCCGAAGTTAGTCGCAAACCGTTTGACTTTAATGAGCATAAACTGATAACACTAGTGACTAGAGTATGTGTTTCGCTAGGATTAGTTCTACCAGGCTCAGTTTAAGTAATACATTACTCAAGAAGAAAGAACTAGAAGATTGGTTCGCATCGAAAAGAGAGTTCAAGATATTGGAGATACAAGATGTGGCTGAGCTTGCTGGATTACCGTAGGATTTGGTAGGGGGCTAACCAGGTGCTTATGTGTAGTTGTGAAGCAAATAATATGTGTAACACTGGTTGTAATGTTCATTTGAAAAAAGGCACCTACCAGTTCATGTTGCTGATTGTCACGTACAACGAGTCGGCGTACACTCTGACATAACTTCCACATAAGGTCTGATGGATCAGGTAGTCACATCATGACAATTCTACATTTCTAGGAATAGGTCAGTTATTATAGTAGCAAAGATGAATGTGCTAAAATTAAGTTGGACCATAATAAAACAAACAAGATAAGCAGCTCAACTACGTTTGTAAATCATATGTTATGCTAGAGTGGCTATAAAGTGACAGCGAGCGGAGTTATCGAAAATGAACATTTATGACAAGCAGATAGGAAGAAAGATGGTGAATTCTATGTTACCTATGTTGCGAAAAGGGTTATAATAACCTGAACTGGGTGATTAAGAGTTGATCGAAAACATCTTGGCAATATCAAAACATTGCAACTCAGTATTTGTTTACGTCCTTATTTGGTGCAGACATTATGTAGCCTATGATGGATACTGAGGTTTTTGCGTGTTTCGAATGATAATCTCACGCTCCGAATGTTTTTTTCTACGATTTGGATAGAAACGTGCTAAAACCACCAGTCTGGATTTTTTCGGAGTCGAGAACAAAAACTAGTTATCAGCAAGAAAGGCTTTCAGAGTTTGATATTTTCTTTTACTACACAACGCAAAGAGTTTGTAAGGATCAACCATTCAAAAACAGATATTCAATAGTTCAAAACGAGAAAGTCGAGATTGTGACATACATATCGAATTGCTATAGTATTTTCAGCCTGACAGCAGATTACTTGTTGACTCCAAATAGCTTACCTCTGGAAGCTAAATGCGGGAAAAGCGAAAGTAGCATATGCTTTTATTGCATCCCCCTGATATTTACTATTAGTATCTAGGCTTTTGTTCGCAAAAGTCCTAAATCATATTCCACTAAGTTCTTGTAGGAGCGAAGACTACAGAGGAATTACCCGACCTGAGTCTCCACTGTAGTTCACAACGCTGTTAGTTGAGGTGTACAGAAACTAAATAATGAACCGTTCTAGTAAATACATTTTTTCAGCTTTGCTAGATCTCTTTAGAGTTGTCATGAGTCAGCTTTGCATTTGACGGCCCTCAACTGATTGCTATTGTTAGCACGGCTATAAAACAAAGAACCAACAGTATGATCGATGATGAGTAAGTAATCTTGTACTTGTCGTTTGCATGATAAATATCGTTTGCTTCATATTTTTTCATGATTCAGACTTAATACTGTGTTATTTAACCAGCCTTTAGGTTGGATGTGTCCTCCTGAAATGGTCACCTATCCTATTTCTTCGAAAGTCTCGCTGAAGCTTAACATAATCTTTGAAAAAGGTCGCTGTCAAAATTTGAAAGGTTGATCCTAAAGAACTCCAGAGAGACGACATTAATCCTCAAAGTACAAATTATTTGATCTGATAACCGATTCAACAACTAACACTTTAACCGATCAATTAATGATGACTGAAGAGCTAACCGTTTGATCATAATAGGTCATTGTGACATTCATCGATTTAAGCGAATCATCTGATAAAATATCTCAATTAGAATTGATGCAGAACATTCAAACCATTGTAATAAAATACGAACCGAAAGATTTGATGAAGACCTTTAATTCTTAAAAAGTCTAGATACATTACTTCTGTAAAATTATGGTCTCATTCGGCATTAGTACTACTCTAATAAAATATCCATTCTCAAAATTTTTGATTTGTAATGGTGTAACTGCTTTGTCTATAAGATCTTACGGTGAGGTCACATCATTGTTTACGCTTGCTCGAAGTACTATCACTATGAGCAATATGATGTTTAGTACTTAAGAATATCACATTTTGGCCAGAGATAGAATAATATATTTAAGTTTGAAGAGTATGGGTTAACCCAAGAATGACAACGCATGCAAGCCTGACCAAGAAATGCCAATTCGTGAAATGAATGTTCCGCGTTCACCATTGCTGACTTTCCTTTTGTGTCACATGTTGAATAGAATTCTCTTCAGTAATAATGTACTTGGCTTCAAAGATCGTATGGTTTTAAACCAGTGCCACTACATATCAACCCAATGTTCATAATCAAGGACTTTCGTCACGCATTTCACTTCAATAAACAGATTCTCGACAACCGAAACGACGATGTTAAGGCGCTGAAAATATATCGTTAAGAGATAACCCCATAGGCAATCACAGGATGGAAATTCCATTAGAATTACCGGAAGAATAGTTATCGATTGATAGTTATCGAACACGCCGATCTTTGAGGCCACAAATAATAATGAAGGTTGTTCTTCATAGAATTACCAATCCCGTATAATGCTCATGTAAGTACATTATTTGATCGGGTCACTGATGGAAGAACATAAGGATCCTAGGCTTAGATTATCATAGATTACGGTTTATTGAGCTCGAGGAGTATAGTTCGATGTCCTCATAGTTCCGTCTCTTACTCCTTATGGGAGAGTATATGCCGTTCACCAGCACTCTCCATCCAAATCTGTCCTGGGAAATCTTATTCAGTTCTTTCCATTTGCTATTCATTCATCTTCTTTGCTTCCAGTTTTCGAAGTAGTGTCTTAATTAGTCCTCCATTTTTCCGTTTCCCTTCATGATTCTAGGCTGAAACTTGCTTCGTGATGCAATTCAGTGATTTTTTCAGTGTATGTTTGGTCTGATTCCAACGTTTTTTCTCAATTACTTTTCAGCTGGGAACTGATTTATTCTCTCTTAGAGTGGGCTATTGCTGATGGTATCCGACCAACAGACACTCAGTTTATTGAGTAAGAGACTGCTTAGAAATACCTGAACTTTCTTGATTACTATTGTTATGGTACTCGAAGTTTCAGTTCCCCACAGTAGAACAGATTTGACGTTCGTATTGAAGATTCCTCATTTTGATATTTGATGACAAATGTTTTAAGTTCTACATGTTCTTCAATTGCAACAATTCAGCCTTTACTTCTCCTTTACACATATATCAGATGCTCTTTGTTCATCGAAGATGCAGTCCAGGTATGTGAATATAAAATATGCAATTGCAGAAATGGCTATTAAAATGACTGTAATTTGTGCAGTCGAATCATTGTACTGGCACATGTTAGGCATCATCAAAAACCTGAAGACGTACTGAAATAAAAACAAGCGAGGGCGAATAAACCAATCGATTTACACAAACTCAAGACGAAGATATCGGATATAGAATATTGGAAGAAGAATTACAAAGGCGGCAGTTATGCCTAGTGTTGTTACATCACATTGGTATTGTATGTTTTGGGAACTTCTAGCCTGTACGCACTATCTTTCTATTGAACATAACTTTTTAACCCTTGATCGTAAATAGTTTTGTACATCTCTTGGAAAAAGACACTTCCTATCTGTAGTTGTTTTCCTGTCACGGCTCAACCAGCCGAAGTAGGCGAAATTAAAGGAAACTATAAAGTTGAAAAAGATAATTCTGTAAGAAAATAAAAGGTAAATTAAAAGGAAACGAGCCAAAAAGTCTCGTCTCACCTTGACAGAATATTCATTGTGCTGAGACTTGGGCATGGGGTATGTACTTTGGGATTTTTGCATTGTAGATGATATAAGTTCGTGCTGTAAACTATAACTCTCGATCATAAATACATGCACCAGTTAGTGATTTTAAAGACTTTTGAACGTTTTCTATATTGACTTTGGAGTATAACTTGGCTTTAACGTTAGCTGTGGTCCTATGGGTTGTTTTATCTTAAAATGAAAGTATAACAGAATAGGCTAGAAATTGTCTCTTATTATTCTACCCATCATAATTACATCATCCTTTAGTCGATGCTGGAAAAAACGCTTGAAGATAACTTCCGAAACTGTCCAGTGTTAAGTTAAATATCTCAAAAATTGAACAACCACCAATTCTATGAATACTTTCCAAGAGACACGAGTTGCTTTTCACACAGATGAAATCTCGAATTATGTCTATCTAATGGTGGTTTTTTTAATTTTCAGCGAAATTTACAAAACTAAATTTCAAGAAATATGGTTCGGTCTTTTTTAGCATCTAAGTTTTAAAAGCTTATGTGGGGTTACTTGGATTGAAAGATAAAAAGGAAATTGCATGATCATTGGAAGCCTATTCACCATCACACCATAAAAGTATATAAATACCTAAATTATTCATAAATACTTTATGAAAGTGAACTCGACGAAGAAAGTTTTTTTCCTGAAATAATTGTCTTATTAGTATCAGAAGGGGTTTTGTGGATATTATAGTAATTTTGGTAATTGAGATCATGAATCTATTGAAGCTAGACCACTATAGAAAACCTGAAAGCACTGGACGGCCGTTTAGTTCTATTGTGGGACTAATTCTTCCTGTACTGTATCCTTCCTTATATGCAATCTATCTTTTATATATTACCATCATTGAATTAACTACCTCTATGAATACTGTGTTCATTTTGTTGTGCTACTGAGGTGTGGCAAGTTGGAACGATGTATATATGTACCTGGTCCTACGTTGTAGCTGACTGACTGATTGTGGGACTCCTCTGCTGAGTCTTATTATTCGAAATTATTTGAACTATTTAAAATGATCTTAGTTCATTTACAGTTTACACATCCCTATGCTAACTAATAGAAACGAAAATCTTAAAAGATTGTTGCATAATGTATTCTGAATAAGATTATGGTGAGACCTGCCAAGTCGTTGTTTAGTGTATACTACACTTTTATCTTTTATAGTATTATCTTAAATGTTTGAAATCAAAATACTTGCAATCGTTAATTTTTCATCTGATTTTTGTAAATTAAGAATTATTTCCACTTATATAAAAACTTCATTATAAAACGGTTGACTTATTTTCAGAATTAGATCTATTTGAATGTGTTAAAAAACTATATCGTCATGTTCAAGTCAACCAGTTTACTGTTGAGATCTCCAACTATTCAAAGTTTACTCAATTCTTCGGAATGTACAAAAAATATATGTGAGTCTTCTTGTCTAGTTTTTCATATATAGAATCTTTTTGTTTAGGTAGTTCCTCATCTTTGAATCGATGGTATTTACGTTATTCACGTGGACCTCGTGTTCTTACTCCACCTAAAAATCCATTTGTTTATGATAGAGATTGTAAGTCATCTTTTTTTCTTAATTTTTATTACTTTGTTATTTTAAAAAAATAATAAAGGGGAAAATGAACCATACAAACCGAAAGCTAAAAATGAATATCTTCTACCTGTCAAATCTTTAAAAGATTTTCAAAGGTTTTCTTTTTGTTTAACACTTTTCTTAATCAATATATTCTAATTAAAGTTTAGATGAACGCTGTAAAAACATGTTTACCTATAGTTTTGTTTATAAAGTAAATTGTATATTTTCTTTATTCAACTAATTTCATATTAATATCTCTTCATAGAGACAAGAATTCCAAGAAAATCTTAATGAAATGTTGAAGAAATTAGGTTTTGAACCTACAGCTGATTCATTAGCTGCAAAAAGTAATTGAGAAATACATCAATATCATTTTCTATTCAAATTTAGTTGTTCGAATGACATTAGAATTACGTTATAAAAAATGGCGTTTAAAAGAACATCCACGTGTAAGATTCTAATGATGATGATGATTTTCTTCTTTTATGTTCATTGTATTTACTTTATATTTATAGTGTATCACATTGAAACTTGCAACTAAATGTCTTATGAATGCTCGACAACGTACTTTAAGATTGTTACGTGCTACAAATTTATCTGAATTTCATAGAATTACATCTGCTTTAAAATTTGTTCATTATGAACATGTGGATCCTTATCGATTATGTACTGATGATCCAATGGTTCAACGTAAAAATTCTTTTCGAAATGAATGTTATCAGGTAAGATATTCGGATAAATTCGATATTTATTACATTGTCGGTTTGACTTAAAACTTCTGGTTAGCATATTTTTGGTGAGCTAGTTTTCTACGGGATAGGGTCGCTAACCCCATGTTCAACCCTCCTCCTTTATCTGGGCTTGGGACCAGCAGTAGTACCAGAGGGGCTCCAGGCCTAGTTTTGATTTTACATAACTAACTTAAATATCTATTTCAAAATATCCTTGACATTGAATATAATTCTATGTTAAATAGTAATTTAGCAAATTTGAAGTTCTTCCCATGAATATAGACATGTGGTTCTCAGCATACTTATGTTTTGACTATGATTTTTCGGTTTCACATCATTGTTTAAATCGTTATAGTGTTGTTTCAAACATGTCATCTTCACCTACGTTATAAGGAATAATCAAAAATTATTACTCATAAATGTGTACTACTGAATCAATATAACGAGTTTGCATTCGGACATTAGGATTGACTTTTTTTGGCCATATCACTCTCAAATTCTGTAAAAACTAAGGTCTAGTGAAAGACCATTGTATCTAGATTCATAGGTTCAGTCCATTTATATCTTGATTACAATTGACAACCGTTTCGTAATGAAATTGAGCAAAGCTTGCGTAAAGACAGAGAAACCTGGTGGTCGGAGCTTGCTAATAAGTTGGAAGCAGCAGCTGCGTCTGGTAACTGCCGGAAACTCTTTCTTCAACTCATTCGAACCCCTGGCACCAATAAGTATGGTGTGAGCGAAACAATCTATGAAGATGACGGGATGCCAATCACTAACATCTATCGACGTCTTGGACGATGGACAGTTCGACTGGTCTGCAGCCCCAGCAACATCGATTAGACAGTCCTCCCCTCCATGGTCTGTGATGACTGGTCCACCAAATGAGGAGAAAGTCTGCAAGGAACTCCAACTCTTGAAGCGCTACAAAACACCGGGCCCCGATGACTTATCTCCTGCCCTTCTTAAAGATGTTTGTGACTTTCTGGTTAAGGAACTGGGAGTTAGAGAGTGTACCAACGTCATGGAATGAGTCGATAGTTGTCCCTATCTTTAGAAAGGGTTCATGTCGTTTCTGTAATAACTATCGGGGGATAAGTCTACTTCCAATTGCTTCCAAACTATTGGCTTCCGTCATACATCGTAGATTATTCAAAAACCCGAGAAAGATTGACTCGCGAGGAGCAGGCTGGGTTTCGTTCGGGTCGAAGATGTATTGATCATATCTTCACCCTCCGCCAAATGATAGAACAGTGTCATACTTATCACAGGCGAACAATCGTAGTGTTTCTTGAAATCAGGGCTGCCTTCGATTCGATAAACAGGACTGTACTTTGGAATTGTTTATTGAAGAATGGTGTGCCTGAGAAGTTTATTAACATCTGGAAAGCCCTATATAGAAACACCTCAGGTAAATTGAGGGCATACAACCACCTCTCTCCATTGTTTCATTCATTCGACTTCAGTGGCTTTGACAAATTCTACAAATGTCGTCCCAGAGAATTCCACGTCGTGTATTATTTGTCGACTTTGGGAGTGGTTGGGAAAAGCGGAGAGGTGGTCAGTGTATGATATAGTGTCGTAGTATAAAAGAAAGTTATACGGCATTGGCTCCTATTGTTCCTTCAAAACCCCCTGGTTAGGGTCCTAGAGATGGTGTAACACAGTGAGTAGAGACGTTATCAGATATGACTCAGAATGGAAATCAGTGTCGATGCTCTTGTAACTTAATAAAAAAATGGACGCAACTTCTTTAATTGGAAAAATTCTTTCTGGTTGTACCTTTCATTATCATATACTAATTTGTGTTCGTTATTGTTCCATTTTTTCTTCTTATAATCACTTTACATTTTCTATCTCTACACATTCTCATTATTATTGCGTGACGCATATGTATCTAGTGTCCCCTCCCTTGCACCAATATTGATGTGCTCAAATAAATAAATAGATTTATATATGTACATGAATCGATTCATTGTGTTTACATATATTAACTATCAGTTACATCGGATAACACAAAGGTTTTATTATATGAAACATGTTTTATTCTCATCCTATGTTAGTTTTTAATTATACCATTGTTATGATTTTATGTCCGGTTTTTATCACGTGATTTATCCACCAATCGAAATACGAGTTATACAAATCTTCTCATTATGCCGAATCAATGACGTTCGACCGGTATGAGCAGCCTAGCGTCCTTATCGGTCCTATGTTCGCCTAGCCCGTCCACTTGAGTCCAGAACATCAATACCAGCTTCTGCAATATGAATCGAATCGAATCGTTTATTTCAAACATAGTCGGTTTATATATCAATCAGACTACAACGTACCATAAAGTAGGAAATAATGTTTGTACAACATCAAGCCAAAAAGTGGCTGTGAACGTGGGAGATAGTATTCAATAAACTGAATATAGTTTAAGAACCATAAATCGTAGATGCAGACTACTTGGTTGGGGTCCGCGTGACTATCGTAACCAATGATTGGAGACTCTTGGTGACATGGCTCAGAATCGATCACAATGGCGTCGGTGTATACACTCCCTGTCTTCCCTTAAACTATGAGATTAAAATCGCTTCATATCTTTCTTTCTACGAACCAATTCCTTCTGCTTGTACTATATCTGTATATGCAATCTTTCTCATATATTACCACCTTTCACCTAACCACTGTTATGAATCTGGTGTTCATCTTGTTGTGTTGATGCGGTATGGCAACCTGGACCGATGCACATATGTGCCTGGTCCTACGTTGTAGCTGACTGACTGACTGATAGATCAAAATAAAGCTTATAATAAGAGGAATATAAATATACATAATCTAATTACTGAACAGAGTTATACAATAAGAATATTTATAGAATATTAGTCTATTAATAGGTCTTGGAGGTTATTCGTAATGAAATCTTCACTAGGATATAACAACCATCAGTAGTATATTACCATAAATTCATATTTCATGAACAGTCTAGTAACTAATTGTTGTGACTTTAAACTTGGGTCAATTTTTACCCCGTGCTAATTGTTGCGTACTTGACTGAAAAGATTAGAGAGCAGTGTACCGATTGGTCCCACTTCCCTGTCTAACCCAGCCAGTTGAGTCTAGAACACAAGTCACAACCTCTAAGTTATGAACTCTTATATTTCAAACATACTCTGTTTATATACCAACCAAACAGACCACATCGTAACCATTTGTATAATATTAAACAAGTGAATTAAATAATAACTAATAGGAAATGTCCATTGTGATGATGATATCATTCAAAAGAATAATGAAAGCTTCACGACCTAAACCATTCAGTTCAAAGAACAAAAAATCATCCATCTGAATTACAAATCTTCTCTACCATCATCAAATCCAAATCGATTATTAGAAATTAATTATAATAATGAATTAATATATTCTTCTTCATTTATAACATTATTGAATTGTTTCTCTTTTTGATCCTTTTTTCTTTCTTTATTTCTTTCTTAGGAACGTATTCGTAGAATGACTATATTAAAAGCAAATTTAATATCATCTCAACAAGAATTTTATATTGAAAAATATCAAATTTTAACAAATTTATTAAATAATTTAAATATATTTATAAATTCTAATTATTTTAATATAAAACAAGAAAATGTTCCTCAATTTATAATAAAACAATTATTTTATGAAATAATTAAAGAACGTCAATTAATTAATTTAGATAAACCAATAAATGATCAATTTTTATGGTATTTTAATGAAACTAAAAAACGTGATAAATATTTAATGGAAAAATTACAGAAATTAGAAAAACAACAACGTAAATTAAGAAAATAATTTAAAAAAAAAAGAATGATCATCATTATTGTTATTAGAATAATAATAATAATTAACATTGGGAATTTCTTCTGAATATATATCTATATATGTAAATGTTATTGTATTTCATATATTTGATTGTTAGAGATTTTTTTTTTTAAAAGAAACAGTCATGTGTAATTTATACATTCTAAATGTCTTAGTATAATCGACAGTGTGGGGTGTGTGCTACTTATATTGGTTATAAGTAGTATATAACGTGCGTTAAAATAACGTAATGTCTAGCAGCAAAAGATGGCGAAGATCAAGAAAGGTAGAGCGAGAACACAATGGAATTTGTAAGAAAATGCATGAACAATGGAATGGAAGACAGTGGATTGGTGTTTGCAACAAAAACAGTCCAGTTTGGTTTTATGCATGAATATTTTGCAAATTGACGATTTACTATATGGTATTCAGATTTTGTTGAGATAGACTGTAATTGTTGTGCTAAATACATCCGTTTGTCCCCACCCGTGTTCTCGTTCACTACAAGTGGAGAGAGAGAGAGTCAGATTTGCCTATTGATATGGCATTCTATGGTTAAGGAAGTCCTATTCACTGCCTTTTTGCACTATGGGTGTTGTTTATCAAATTCAGAGGATGAAAAACAACACATCCAACACGTTATCCAGGTTGATGGACACGTAGAGTTCACCTAGAAGGAGTTGGAAAACCTTCATTGCAAACCAATAGTTCATATAAGCTACAGGATCCTTAGTGAACAAATGGCGTATGAACCACAATTATCGGTTACGGGTTACCATGGGACTGCATCTCCTAACGTAATGTGTAATTTTTGCGTCCTAAATGTCTTAGTATGATCAAGAGTGGAGAGATTGAGATCTGCTTTTTTGAAATGCCATTATATATTGGCTATGTGCATACAATAATTGCTAGGGAAGTTCTATTCACTGCCTTATCGTATTATGGGTGTTGTTTATCAAATTCAGAGGATGAAAAGCAACACATCCAACACGTTATCCAGGTTGGTGGATACGGAGAGTTCACCTAGAGGGAGTTGGAAAACCTGTTAGCGGGACATAGATTGGATTAAAACATGCTCAATGCACAATTACGTTGGCGCACGCTGATTGGATAAGAATTAGCTAATCAGTGTTAGTCAATACTTAGTGAACACTAGAAGCCTTCTCATGTGAAAAATTATGAATATACTAACGTTTTCTCTATTGTGCTTCTTACTTCCATCTAACCTTGTTATTTGGGATATAATCTCTTTTCCTGTTCAACCGTGTTTTCATTTGGGGGACTTGTCGAGTGAATCGGTGTCCCAGAATACTAGGAATAGCTGGGTTATAGCCGTAAGAGAGGATTATAACATCTTCATTCCAAACCAATGGTGCAAATGGGCTACAGAGTCCTGAGCGAACAAATGGCGTACGAACCAATTATCGGTTACGGGTTACTATGGGACTACATGTCATAAAATTGCTGCACTGCCTTGTGAATTCAACCGTTAGATTGAAGGCTCCGGGTATGACATCATAAGAAAACCACCTGCTTCGGTTTAAGCACTCGGACAATATCCCAACCCCCACAAAAATCGAATAATTTATATGGTGCCCCCTTGTACCAATGTTTGTGTGTGTAAAGAAAATAAAACAGTAGTATTATTATATTTCTTTGCCTTCTAATTACTTTTCATATCATCACTTTCCCTCTTGAAATAACAGATCAATAATCAGTAATCTTAATTAATCTGCTAAGCATTCTATCTTCTTACTATTACCATTTTAAATTGAACTAAGTTTACGAAAGATACAAAAATTTTAGTAATTTTGTGCCATTTTTAACTGATGCACAATTTAGAGATGTAATGAATTCCATGTATTGAAATAATGAGTCAATTGAAGCTAGACCACCATGGAAAACCTGGAAGCACTGGACGGCCGTTTCGTATGGGACTCTTCAGCAGTGCGCAATGGTGTACGGTGGCGTAACTTCGTGGATTGGTTGAAGTTAGACATTAACACCATTAGATACCGGCTCAGTGGTCTTGTTGGTTAAGCGCCTGACGCGAGACTGATAGATCCTGGGTACGAATCTCGCGGAGTGCGGGATCGTGGATGCTCACTGTTGAGGACGAAACGGCCGTCCAGTGCTTCCAGGTTTTCCATGGTGGTCTAGCTTCAATTGACTCATGATTTCAGTCTGTGAAGTTTCTAAAATCTCCACAAGACCCTTCTGATATAATGAATTCATTTTATAGCAAATTTCGTTGTTCTGCTTTATCAAAGGGCTCAACTAATATAAAAAATATTAATCATTCAACGAAGTACTAGTATACATTCAAATAACTGAATATGTATATTAGAGTCTTTTTAACCCTGAAATTATTCAAAGATGATCTATAAACCTTTAAGAACTTATAACTAATGTTGAAAAGTTGTTAATATTTTGATTTTTACAATTTTTTAAAGAGAGATTTTATTGACTTAATACATGTTTGTACTTACTTTTGACATCTGGTTCCGGCGTTATGAAGACCTATTTAAATATGATTTTGCTAATCAAGATGATGCTTTGAAGGTTGGGCAAACCAATTAATGTGCCGACAACACAAAAACCTCGTACTGCATGCGGTAATCACCTACGTTTGTTGGGACAACTAGATTGTAAAGTGTCTTCTCACGATTTGACGTTCACTGGGGTATGTTACATAACGCCAGCTGATTTAAATTTACTTGATTTAGATTGGTTCTACCAGCTGTATTTAGCTGGTGTCCTGTTAAGCACCGTATGCCATCTCGTGGAACAACCCCATGAACCTGTAGCATATACGAAGAAGCTAATGACGGAGTTTTCAACCATTTTCCAGCCTGTATTGGGTCAGTGCACTGCTATGAAAGCAACACTTCGGTTGAAACCTAGAGCTAAGCCTGTCTTCCGTTCAAAGAGAAATGTGCCGTATGCAGCATTATCAAAATTGATGAAGAACTCAATCGCCTTGAACTACAGGGAGTTATTACACCTGTTTCTTATTCTGTCTGTACAGCACCCATTGTGGTTATTAAAAAAGCAAATGACACGGTACGAATATGCGCTGATTTCTCAACAGATCTTAATGCAGCTCTAGAACAAAATCATTACCCGTTGCCAGTTCCCGCAGATCTGTTCACTGTGCTAAATGGCGGAAAATGTTTTGCAACCCGGATCTCGATTATGTCTATCTACAAGTGGAAGTGGCTGAAGATTCGAGAGAGTTACTTACCATAAATACTCATCGTGGCTTGTTTCAGTACAATCGTCTAGCATTTGGTGTTAAAACAGCTCCATCTATTTTTCAGCAACTAATGGATACCATTCTATCAGGTATCGCGGGGGTCGCAACTTATCTCGATGATATCTTAATTGTTGCCACATCGTTAGAACAGCTTCGAGAACGCACCACAACTGTACTACAACGCGTCAGCGGTAACGGATTCCGATTCCACCCAGAAAAGTGCCAGCTTTTCCTGAAGCCAGTAAGGTACTTGGGATTCATCTTTGATGCCGCAGGTCGCAGACCAGATCCTGAAAACATCTGAGATATAAAACTGATGCCGATCCCCACTAATATCTCTGAGCTACGACCATTCTTGGGACTAATTAGCTACTACTCAGCTTTTGTTCCGTTGATGAATCACATACGCGCCCCACTAAATTATCTTCTGAATAGGAATACTATTTGGAACTGGACAAAAGAGCATGAAGCTGCATTTTGCAATCTGAAAACTCATTAGCTTTGAACTATTATTGACGCACTACGACCCATCCATGCCAATCATTGTGGCTGCAGATGCTTCAGCTTTTGGACCCGGTGCCGTCATCTCACACCAGTTCCCGGACGCAACAGAGAAAGCTATCGTGCATGCATCTCTCACATTAACTCCAGCGGAAAGAAAGTACAGCCGAACAGAGAAAGAAGCTCTCGCCCTTGTGTTTGCAGTACGTCGTTTCCACAAATTCTTGTACGCTCGAAGATTCACTGTTCACAGGCCTCTTCTCACAATTTTCGGTTCGAAATCTGGTGTTCCAGCCCATTCTGTAAACAGTCTCCAGCGATGGGCTTTGATATTGACACTCAATACCGGCGCATCCAACAGTTTGGTCAAGCTGACGCCTTGTCACGAATTATCAGCGAACACCATACCGCCGACGAAGATGAGGTTATTGCCTCCCTAATGACATGGGACCACGCGCAATGTTACCTAACAACTGCTGTTCGTGCTTTGCCAGTCCCAGCAGCTGAAATACAACCTATCTCCAGGAACGACTCCATCATTAAGAGAGTGATGAAATACGTCACTAATGGCTGGCCGTCAACTGGACTCAATGGTGACTTGAAGCAGCTTTACCACCGTCTGGACTCATTATATGTCGTAAATGAATGCTTGATGTTTGGAGATAGAGTGGTGGCACCAGAGTCCCTACGATCAAGAGTGCTAAAGCAATTCCACACTGGTCATCCTGGTGTAAAACGAATGAACTCCATCGCCAGAAGCTATGCTTATTTGCCCCTCATGGATCAACACATCGTGGATTTGGTAGGCAAGTGCACAGTGTCAGCAATCGGCTAATTGTAACGCAAAAGTACTGCCGCTCCCATGGCCACAAGCTGAGCATCCCTGGTCCAGGCTACATGTCGACCTCGCAGGCCCAATTACTGGAATCACCTACCTAGTCGTTGTTGACGCCTTTTTTAAATGGCCAGAAATATTTCCCGTCATGCCACCAACGACCACCCAAACAATGCAACTTTTGACGGAGATGTTCTCCCGCAACGGATTACCAGATGTAATCGTATCCGACAACGGTTCGCAGTTCACCTCAAGTTAGTTTCAAGAATTTTGTGAACACCTATCGAACAAACATTTCCGTTCTCCACCTTACCACCTACAGTCAAATGGCCAGGCAGAAAGATTTGTGGATACATTCAAGAGAACTCTAATCAAGTTGAAAGGGTAGGGGGCGCCAGTAGAAACACTGCAGAATTTTTTGTTTCTTTACCGAACAGCACCTAGTGATATGCTACCAAAGTAGAAGTCCCCGGCAGAGATCCTGATGGGAAGGAGATTGAGGACGATCTACAGTCTGATGTGCCCAAGAACCACACCACCACCATCTCAGACCAAATCTCAGGAGCTGCCAACGTACGAGTTTGGATGCCCGGTATTCGCTCGAGACTACAGAGCAGATCATGGTTCTTGGACCGAAGCACGTGTGGTTGAAAGACTAGGCCAAGTTATGTACGATGTAAGGGTGGGAAGAGACACGTGAACTAGGTGCCGAAACCAACTACGAAAGCAGATAGCCCCAGACCGCCCATCAACAGGAGTAAATCTTCCCCTTGACATCCTGTTTAATACCTTCAACTTACCAGCATCCCCACCACGAGAAGAAGCTCAAAACAAACTGGTCTCGGTTCCAGAAGGTGACCCCTCCGACAGCGACGAACAAAAGTCAAGATGCAAGTCGACCCAGGAAAGTATGCTATTAAAAAGGGGAGGTGTGTTGGGGACATTAGATCCCCAGAACTCACTTGGAAAAGAACCTAATTTTGTAATTTTATTTAGAAAATTTGAATTTCTTTGTTTTTGCGCCGAAAGCGCTCCTGTCACCTTTATGTCGTATTTCCCACTTGGGAGAATCTTAAATGCCATTGGTACGTTGTGTCTTTTAGTATACTATTTTGTAACTCTCCCTAAAGACGGTTTTGTACTATATATATGCGTTTCGATTTGTGTTTGTTGTTATCGCTCGTTTCTGGCTATTTGCGGAATATACTTCCCCTATTTCAAGCTTGGACTTCTTCCTCAAGTTAGCGGGGCTGGGACGCATCAAATAGCTAGCTTATTGGTTTTTGGTCACCGAGTTTTTGTTCTGTTCGCAGTCTAAGTGAACGCGTAACCGCTTCAAACCTAGCAGATTTCCGTGGTAGTGGTTGTATACACGTGTCCATATTGAGAGCATTTGGAGAGGGAGAGCTGACTCTCCCCACTCTCATCTGTACCAGGGCATTTGGAGGCTTGTGAGATTATCCCGTTTGTAATTGAATAGCCGTAAGAAAACGATGTATTCATTTCATCGTTCAGATCTTATAGTTACTGCATTGCTTAAAAAGTAATTCAATTTTATACATGAATAAACATATCTACTTTAGTCTGTGCAAATTCTCTGATACATTAACAAAGTGTAATTATGTAACAAAGAGTCGGTAACCAAACATGTGGATATATTGTTCTGTGTATTTTACACTACAATAGTCTGTAGCATCTAATCTATCACAAATAGCGTAATATTATTATACGTTTGTTAAGAACACATGAATGAAGAAGCTTTCCATGTCATTTACTGTTTAAGTACAACCAGTCGTAGAATTGGTAAACAGTTTGCATATCTTTACATTCTATATTTTTACCCATTAATGTGAGACATTTTGATTACTCGCTAGAGGTATCTTCTGTGTGATTAATCACCAAGTAAATAGTGGTTGACAGTTATACTATGGACTATGCAGTTACACTACTATGCTAATAGAAATGCTAACACTAATTCAGATTGTGTTTTAGATTTGAAGAATTCTTTCATGATTTTAGCAAATGAGTGTCATTCACATGTAAACCGCAAGCATATTTTGAATTTATCATGATATTTACGTGGTCTTGCTCATCTGCATCGATTGAAATGTAGACCTTGTCCCACGTTTTAATCACGTAGAATCAGTAGGACTGAGACTTCATATGTGTCTCAGCTAACAACTTCAAACCTATCAGACAGACACATTGATCTTGACGAAATTACTCCTCCATTCGTCTAAGAATAATAGGGGCTAGTGGTAATTAAATGTGCCTGCCAACGTGGTCACTCAGAATATTTAAATGTAATGAATCGGACTCCATTCAGATTTACAAGACATCCACACAGTTACTTGATCCTGTGCGGATACTCAGGCCTACAGTTAGTTATAGAACAATCTTTTGGTGACAGTTTTCATAAATAGAAGGCAAGGAATGTAGCTAGCGGTAGGATCCAGGACTCGTGTTTCACCAGATGGATCTCAAACTTGATGTTTACTTTGTGAATCATATCTTCTCTAAAATTTGTGAAATAATGGCCATATCGAAGCAATCCCTACAGGTTGCACATATGCCAGCTAAGAGTGACCAAAATTCTGTCAAGAATATCAGCAACGAAATAACTCGAAGATACTTACAAATTTACGTAGAATGACTTCCATATATGGAGGAAAAATCAATTGTCAGCCTAGTTTAAATAGAATTGGAAAGTTTTCTACCAGAGGTCTGAATCAACGAAAGCAAATAAGTCTAAACTAAGAAGTGAAGTGCAATATAACGATATTTTTTGTTAGTGGCCACGTATGCATTTTACATGCACTTCTGGGTAGATTGTACTAGTTACTATTCCGTAGTAGTTCAATGTGTACTCAATGATTTACCAGTTAAATCACTCACTGTCCAATCAATCGGGTTTTAGTTTCAAATAGCACTCCACTAATACCAGTTTGGTTACCCAATTAGTTGTATTTCTAGTTCTAACAGATAAGGGGTGTCTTTTAATTAAGTACTTGATAAATGAGTTAGATCAGATTGGAAAAAAAACCCAGAAGTACCAAAAATTAGTTCATTTCTTAATGTGTAGGTGATCAGTAATGAGCTTATACAGTTATAACAAACTGGGGCTGATAGATATGCATATCAGCCCAGGTTACTACATCTCATATTAAGACAGCAAAAAAGGGTTAGCAAGATAAGTACTCAAAGTAGTAATATCAGCTAGAGTAATAAAGATTAAACATAGAAATTGTGATTTTCGGAGAATGAATAAGTTTGTAGGATAAAAAACTCAAAATCTGGAGAGAAATACCGAGGGAATGCATATACTCCATTGCAACCTATATGAAATCATCACACTTTATGTTTCCAAACACCATTTGCGGTTATAACGACTAGAAATTCTGCATAAAACAAAATGGTTCAGATCAACTCTCAGTAACTTCATAAATTGATGCCATGTCTAATTTACGGTCCCATTCCAACTTCGAGTTATATTTTCCACTGTTTAAACTTTTCAGTCATAGATTCATTTCACTTGGTATTGTTTACTTCAATTTTCGCATCGATGTTTAGGACTGCGATTGATCAGTCTCTCTTATTGACATATATGCATCCTGTGCGGACTGCCTCAATTCACACAAGCATTATAAGCAATGTTGGATAGCGGCTATCAGGACTTAGTAAATATATGCATAACACGATGGCGTTTGAAGCGAACGGCACTGGGTTCGAGTCCCAAAGTGAACATCAACTCAGAGATACAGGTAGATCCGTCTGAAGAGTCACAAATGGGGTGAAACGCACTTCTTGGATCACATTGCTAGCCACTATCCATCTTAGTCATAGATTCGGTTTGACAGTTAATAAATTTAAGAACTGATGTCGTGACGTCCCTAATCTTCATCCATCCTATTCCGATTGTCAGTATGTCGTATCGACTTAAATGGGATTTTCAAAAAAAAACAAAGTCATGCTGGGGTTCTAGTTATAAGAAGAAAATAACAAGTATATTCATTTCCGCGAATGTGATTCAACATATTCCGGAAATCGATCATCAATAACTATCATGACAATAGCTAATATCAGATGGGTTTTGTGGATATTATAGTAATTTCAATGGTTCAGATCATGAGTCAGTTGAAGCTAGACCACCATGGAAAACCTGGAAGCACTGGACGGCCGTTTCGTCTTATTGTGAGACTCGTCAGCAGTGCGCGCCCACGACCTCACCCCCTACGAGATTCGAACCCAGGACCTACTGGTCTCGCGCGCGAGCACTTAACCACTAGACCACTGAGCCGGCATCCAATAGTCCCACAATAAGACGAAACGGCCGTCCACTGTTTCCAGGTTTTCCATGGTAGTCTAACTTAAACTGACTCATGATCTTAACCATTAAAATTACAATAGCTAATTGTATAACGCGGTGGCATTTTAAGCGAATGGCACTGGGTTTGAGTCTCAAAGTACATATCAACTCTGAGATGCAGGTACATCCAGCTGACAAGTTCTAGATATGAAGAAAACGCACGTCCTGGATTCCACTGCTAGCCAATATCCATCTTTGCATATTAACGAAATTGATTCAACTGTATTCATGAAAATACAAAAAAATATATTTACCTGAATACCAAAATTTATTTGTACATTGAATCAATTTTGTTTGAAATCAAAGTTAGAACAAAAAGAAATTTGTCGGACAGTTTTGAACTGATATTTATGTTTGTCTATGATGTTGATGATAATGATGAAATCGTTTAAGTTTATATTTTGTTAACCAACGATCGAATATAGGGAATCGTTGCATAATAGCACAAAAAAGATTTGCCGGTATTAACTGATGCTTACTGATAAGTTCTTCAATGGATATACGAACCTAATTTAAGGAGAAAAGATGAGAATGAAAAAAGATGAATATACAAATTTGTGTCCACTATCCAGGATAAAATCAAGGACGAAGCCCTGAAGTTAGATATAAAAGTAATTGCAAGTATGCTACATGTTCTATTCAAGATTTCGAAGGGGGGAACAAGTGCCGACAGATTGAAAAGGAGGATATTTCATCAAGATACTAAAGAAAGGAGACCTGAGCAAATGTGCGAACTACAGAGGAATCATACTAAGGTCAGTACCAGGAAAAGTTTTCAATCGTGTTGCGGAACAGGATGAAAGATTCAGTGGACGCCCAGCTTCGAGATACACATACCGGATTCCATGAGGACCGGTCGTGCACAGATCAAATCGTGACACTATGGATCATTGTTGAACGACCAATTGAATGGAACTCGACACTATACATCAACTTACTTGGCTATAGGAAAGCATTTGACATAGTGAATAGGAGAACATTGTGGAATCTTCTTCCACATCATTGTTCACCTATGATCGTCAACATCATACGGAATTCGTACGACAGACTACACTGCAAACTCGTGCATGGAGGATAGCTCAAAGATGTGTTCCAAGTGACTACCGGTGTCGGTTAAGGTTGCTTACTCTTCTTTTCTCTTATGAACACCTCGACATCTCAGGGAAAGCACGGAATACAATGGACAGCTCGAATGCAACTAAACGGTTTGGACTTTACAAATGACCTGCCTCTTCTATCCCATGCACGTCAGCAATTGCAGGTGAAAATAACCAGTATAACAGCAGCCCTCAACGTACACAAGCGGAAAAGCAACATTCTGAAGTACTGTTAGGTCACAAGAAGCATAATGAATGGTAACTTTGGGATCCTTTTATGGGCCGATCGATAATTCGCTGCTTCCGATTGGCAGCTTTGGGCCATAACAATTGGTGACGGGGTAAAAAAACGATCCAAAGTTAGTCTTTAATTGGACGAACTTCGGCCTAATTATTTTGAGTAATCCGCATCCAGATTTGTCATCACTGTCCTTTAACGATATTGGTCATTAGTCATACAGTTAACTTTCATTGCCGGTTCTGATTTTAAAAAAAACTCTCCCTTACGATCGATTACAGCTGTTATTTGAACGACAGTTCGAATTCTTAGTCAAATAACGCACGCAGCTGCTGAATCACTCATGCTTTGAAGATGCAACGGAAGTGGATGGATTAATTTCTCAATTGCACACTGAGCTGGAAAATGATTGCAGCCTCCATGAATCCTTGACAAATCGTATTTCAAACGATACACCAGTCACTCAAGATTCGCCCAGTGGTCCAGTACTCTCCATTTCAGAAACATGCCCGGTAATGGATTCAAACTCCATTATCCCTGAAACAGCGTGTGCAGACAGTGACTTATCCTACTCACAAACAGACGCCCTGTTAAATGTTCGTAGAATTGTCGCAGTAACCGCCCATGAAACAGAGAACAAATCGAGCAGTACACTGAATGCAACTGCTCCGAATGGATCTCATCATTTAGCGAAAGACGTTTCTGACAAATCTAATTATCGAGATTCTCTTTTACCAGAAAATATGTCAGATGCATCAAATGATGATCAGAAACTTAATACAATTTTGAAAGATGCTGATTACTTTGATGATCCATTATCTACAAATGAGGTTCCCAATAAATTTGGTCACAATATTTCAGAAGAACCAAACTTCGATTACATTTTATCAAGCGTCGTTCAGCCTCACCACTTAGTCACTTTCAGTCGACTCTCTGTTCAATGCGACAAATATGTTTTAAATAAACTCAAATTAATTGTAACTTGGGAATACGAGGATCCAACACTGTTTCGTGGGGAGAGGATGAACCCGGAAAATTTAAAATCCAGATATCAATGCCGGATCCTCAAAAAAGGGGAGGTGTGTTAGGTCCCGATAAGCATAATGAGTGGTAAATTCGGGATCCATTTACGGACCAACATTATACGTATATTCTTATCGTATAATTGTTAAATAACTAAACTATTCATATTCATGTTCCTCTTATTATAAGCTTTATTTTGATTTATGAACTATTGTTCTACGATTTACCATTCTTGAATTATGCTCCGTCTATTAGTCACCGCCCCACACATTCACAGCCACATTTGGCCAAATCTTGTACAAATGTTATTTTGTATTTTATGCTACGTTGTGGTCTGTTTGATTGGTATATAAACTCAGTATGGTTGAAATATAAGGATTCATATTGCAGAGGCTGATACTGGTGTTCTGAACTTAACTGGCTGGGCTAGGCGGAAAGCAGGACCAATCAGGACTCTAGGCTGCTCGCACGTGTTTTACGCGTCCTTGGTCCGATCGATAATTCACTGCTTCTGATTGACGGCTTTGGGCTATGACAAATACAACACGGAGTACACCAGCCCAACCACACTTGGCGGAGAAACTCTGGAAGAGGTGAAAAGTTTCACGTACCTGGACAGCATCATCGATGAACAAGGAGGATCTCATGCAAATGTAAAGACAAGGACTGGAAAAGTAATGGCCGCATTCCTACAATTCAAGAACTCAAAGCAACTGTCAACCAATATTAAAGTCAAAATCTTCAATACGAAAGTCAAGTAAGTTAGTTCTGCTGTACGGAGCTGGAACTTGGGAGACTACTACAACCATCAACTAAAAAGTACAGGTATTTTTAAACAATTGTCTACACAGGACACACCAAACCCGTTGACCGGATACCATCGGCAACAGCCTATTGTTGGAGAGAACAAACCACCTTCCAGTTGAAGAGGAAATTAGGCAAGGACGTTGGAAGTGGATAGGACATACATTGATGAAATCATCAAACTGCATCATGTGGCAAGCACCAGCTTAGAATCCTGAAGGGAAAAGTAAAAGAGGAAGACCAAAGAACACGTTGTGTCTGGAATTGAGATCAGATATCGAGAGAATGAATAGAAACTGGGAAGGACTGTTCAGGACAAAGTTGGATGGAGAATCCTGGTGAGCGACCTACGCTTCTCATGAGGGGTAACAGGCACATGTAAGTAAGCAAGTAATCCAGATAGAACATCGCTAAAAAAATAGATGTCACCAACCCCAAGAAACTATCCTTTAGGGTATGTGTGACCACGCTCTCAAGTCGTCAATATAATGGTTTACACTGACTTCTTTTTTAAGTTCCACACGAAGTATTATTCTCTCATGGTATTGGATAACCGCCCTCATATCTTTAACATCACTGAAACTAGCCTACATACATAGCTTATTGTCAGTGTATACTTTTCAGTCTTTGATTACGATCGTTCATTTTATACCATAATTGCTGTGAGAAAATAGTCGGCAAAGAAAGCAAAAGGTAGTGGCGATAGGCAATAATAGACAACTTATCAGATTCATCAAAGAAACGGATATTCCAAATTCACGTGTTAGTGAGATTATTTCGAAAAAGGATGAGACAGTGACCCACTCTCAGGTCAGGAAGATTAGAACGATGGGCGGAACGCTTTGAAGAACAGTTTGACTGGTCTTATGCAACCCTCCAGTTCCCTGATATTACCACCAACCTAAACAGGCTATCAACATAAGCGCCCCAATTCTTAATGAAATTAGAAATCCAGAGCTAATCTAAGGAGATGGAGAGCAGCAGCCTTTGATGTATTAACCCCAGAGATCTTCAAGGATGGTGGTCCAGTTCTATCAGTTATACTGATAGAGATACAACCTGGGAAGTGGGTAAAATCCCAATAAACTGATCTTCATTGCTGGCCATTCTAGTTTACAAGAAAAGATACATTCTCAAAATACTAACACTCCCTCTAAATGTAAATTGTCGCCTCAAAACTGGTCTACACTATCATTTAAACTGATTACAGGGAATGGAGCAGTCAAGCAGGTCAACCCCTTCACTTATCTTGGAAATCCAATCAACCGTAGTGGGTAGGTGTTTGACGAGATCTTGACACGGATTCAGATAGCTCGATTAGCTTTTACCAACTTACGTCACCTGTGGTGTAGGTGAGACATTCATCTACCAATCAAAGGAATAGTGCACTACCCAGTAGTCTGCTTTGTTCTAGATTACGGCAGTAACATATTCACTAGAAATAGATTTCCGTAGCTTACTAGTATTCGACCACACGTGCCTTCGAAGCTCTGCTTGTGTTTGTTGGAACCGCCAAGTGAGTAGGTCACATCTCCCAGGTGAGTGACCATAAGGTTAGACGTATGGTACTAAGGTGATAATATTAAACCGGTTGGTCTAGTAGTGAGTATTCATTGATTGAGATGGTTAGAACATGTATCACATATGCTCAACACTACTGCTTATCTTAACCCACAATGATGGCTAGGTTGGAAGGAAGCTGCAGGCTGCCAAATCAAGACTCAGGATCAATCTATATAGTAACTAATGTTTAAAAATATTTGGTAACATGTCACAAATTTAATTGAAACCTTATCTTTCTTTCAGTCATGAATTTCACAAGTGTCTTATCCGGTTAATTCTTTTTTTTCGAGTCATAACTTCTATGGTTAATCTTTAATACAACCCTAGAATCACTCTATGATGATATGATGTAACAACTTGAACCTTTGAACGAATATATCAAGTACTTCATTGTATAGAACTGATAAGATTTCCCATGGATATTATCGAAATTCGAATAAACAACCATCATGTATCTGTAAGCTGATCAAGATTTATTGTATCGTTTCGTTTTAAAACAAAATTTGAAGTTAAGTTTATAAATTAGTAATAATGAATACTTACTCGACTAGCTAATTCATCAGATGTTTCATTTGGCAATGGATAAATCGGATCACCAATATAGGTTCTAGAAATTAAAACAACAATATGGTACTATGTGAGAAGTACAAACAATCAAACAAAATTTTTTGATTGAGATCATGAACCGATTAATGTTAGACCACCATTTAAAACCTGGAAGCACTGGACGGCCCTTTCGTCCTATTGTGGGACGCCTCAGCAGTGATCATACACGATCCCGATCACAAGATTCCAACCCAGGGTCTTCAGTTTTACGCGTGAACATTTAACCTCTAGACCACTGAGCCGGCATACAATGGTGTTAATGTCTAACTCCAACCAATTCACGAAATCGCGCGACCATCTTCCATTGTCCTGAGGCAGATACCTGTCTCTAACTGACACGGATTAGCTCCACTGGTCACGGCTTCTCACTAGGACTCAGAGAATTCCCTCACGAAGCTAGTGAGCACATGGTAATTGTCATATGAAAGTTAAAAACTTGACCGATTATGGAAATGTATGAAGCATAAAACCAAGAGAAAAATCAATCAGATGATTTGTACATAGAACTTGTCACAGAATGAAATCAGTTAAGAATATTATTGAATACGATGGGAGCATGGAATAGTTGTTTGATTTTATTATGGGATTTTTAAACCAAATATCCATGACACAATCACGGATTCAATCTGAGATCTTTAAATTATGCAGTAAACGGTCCATTTTTTTAAAGTGCTGTATGGTAACCAAGTGGTTATTATTATTATTATTATTATTATTATTATTATTATTATTATTATTATTATTATTATTTTGATTCATAATATAACGTCACTCAATGCCAAATGTTTAGTGTATAAGACTTTATGAAGGATTTTTGTAGTAGTTGTGTATATGAAACTATATATGTTTCCACCTATCAACAACGCAGGATTCAGTAAATAAATCAACATCGACTCCCAGGATGTCAGAATCTATAAATATCGACACAACAAGAGGAAGTTGCCTGTGGATCTCAACCATGAAATTCCATCAACCAATGACTTGATAGCCAGGATATATGGGGTTGAATGTCAATTTGCAATGTGTAAAATAGATCCCAGGGATTTCGGTCTATTAGGACTCACGGTCACTTCTGTGCCGTATATTGTCGACATTATTCACTTTGTAATTTCATTATAGTCAGTACTGAAGTTTAAAAGGTATGCTATGGTCATTCATTTCAACCTTTATCCTGGTATTTAGATGCTTTTTTCTAATCGTTTCCCAAACCTCCTCCTTTACCCGGACTTGGGACTGACAGTAACTTTAGGAGAGCTACAGGTCGTATACCATCAGCAACCTCGTTCGGTGAGAGAGGACAAACCAGATTCCAGTTGAAGAAGAAATTAGGAAAAGACGATGAAAACGGATAGGACATACATCACGGAAATCACCAAACTGCATCACAAGGCAAGCCCTAACTTGGAATCCTGAAGGGAAGCGGAAAAGTGGAAGGCCGAAGAACACATTACGTCGAGAAATGGAAGTAGATATGAAAAGGATGAATAACAACTGGAGAAGATTAAGCAAGACAGGGTTGGATGGAGAGTGCTGGTGGGCGGCCTATGCTCCTCCACGAGGAGTAACAGGCGTAAGTAAATTTCTAGTCGTTAATTATACATTTTCACTATGGAACAAAAATTATAATGTTCATTGGTAATTCGTAACTGACAAGAGAAATCCTTGTCTATTTTTTTTTATAAAATCATTCTAAAACCTTATTCTTCAAGTTTTCATCCTTACTGACTGTTCATGGTTTCGCATACTAAAACGTCGGGAATCAACACAAGGAATTAATTACTGATGATGAACATCTAATTATCACATACAAATCAACTTACCTAAGTTTAACAGGAAAATAACCATAAAATATAGCTAACGGTAATCGTGTTCTTTCATATAAACTACGCCACCAACCTATATGAATAAAATTAATGATTTTACCATAAATAATCAGAATAATTTTTTATGTTACCTTTGCCAAATTGTACAATTCTTATGGCTTCACGAATATTTTCTGTAAACATTGGATAAATAGGCTGAAAATAAAGAGAAGAAAAACAATAGAAGGGAGAAACAAACATTACAGTCCCCCACAATGGGACAACGAAATGGCATTCCAGTGCTTCCAGGTTTTTCATCGTTGTCTTAGTTTCAATTGACTCATGATCTCAGTTATTGAAATTACTACAATCTCCAGAAAAACCCTTTCTGATACATTATAGTTGTGTCTTCTTTGTAAATATTGCCTAAGATAAATGTAAATCTGTAAAATACATACAAAGGCGACCAAACCAAAACGTGGCATCAGTGCTTGAAGTCACTAACTTCTAGTCTGAGCCAAGTTGGTAAATGCAGACTATTTGGTTGGGGTCCGCGTGACGATCGTAACCAATGGTTGGAGACTCTGTCTTCCCTTAAACTAAGAGATTAAAGTCGATTCATATCTTTCTTTCTACCAACTAATTGTTTCTTCCTGTACTATATCCTTATATAAAATATTTCTTTCATATATTACCACCTCTGAATTAACTGCTTTTATGAATTCGGTGTTCATCTTGTTGTGCTCATTAGGTATGGCAACTTGGACCGATGAATATATGTGCCTGGTCCTACGTTGTAGCTGACTAACTGATTGAAAATATATACAAACATTATGTATAGGAAGACAGCACACTTAGAGGTTACAATTCCAGTGTTTCATATTTCTCAATAATATTATTTATGTATTGCTTTTCTAAAAAAGTTAGATAATAAAGATTTATGGCTTCATCAATCAACTTATTATTTCCACTTGTAGCCAGCATATATATCTTTAAAGAGCAAAAGTTTAAAGGAAGAGGATGAGATAGATTGAGAGATTTCACATAGCTCAGATTCTGTATTGACGTCTTGTTGTAAAGAAGGTATTAAGTAAAAGAAGTTACAAAGTATATACATAATACATAGCCTTTATTCATCCGTTTGCATTTTATAGCCTCCAAATGCCCTGATACGGACGAGGGTGGGAAGAGTCCACTCTCCCTCTCCAAATGCACTCACATAACCACGTGTATACAGCCACTGACAGAGAATTCCTAATCACTGCCTTCTCACGACCAGAGTGTTATTTATGAAATTGAGAGGATGAAAAGCGAATGTACCGCGCTTTAACCAGGTTGGTCGACACCGAGAGACCACCTAGAGGAGTTTGAAAACTCTCACTCCAAACTAACGGTGCACATGGGCTCCAGGATCATGAGAGAACAAATGGTGTATGAACCTATTGTTGGTCACCGGCTACCAGAGGTCTGCATCTCCTGACGTTGCTCCACTGCCTTGTGGGTCAGACCATTGGGGCAAAGGTTCCAATTGTGGCCCCCCAAAGAAAACCACCTGTTTCGGTTCGGGCACCCGGGCAGTATCACAACGTACATACAAATCAAGTGACTTGTGTGGCGCATATGTACTTGGTGCCCGTTTGTACCAATATTTATATGTTCAAATAAATAAATAAAACCAGATGTGTGGTCTAATGATATTGGCGAAAATAAACGTATCAATATGGGACATAAATAAACTAGTAACAATCGAATATACCAGAGATCTCATGGGTACTCCTTTCGTTTGTTTATATAAAGTCCCTTTGAAAGTGAAGTGTTGGATTGAAGCATAACTTGAGAGATTTCATGATTGAACTAATACTAAGTGGACGTCTTCGAGATTGTGTATTCGAATTCTCTCATCAGTCATTAATAAATTCTAGATATCTATCAATCGGAATACTAATGTATAAAGATACAGTTCCTACAAACTAACACACGTACAGACACCAACAAACATTCAAATTTCAACTCTACTCCTTCATATTACAAATTGCACAATTTTTACGCCCACCATTGCACACACACGAACACACACAGTGTTGTTTCACACGGAATCACTTTGACCGAAAGAATTCATATGACAGTGATATAATGAGATGTATTTCGATCAAAATGTATATTCCACCTTGTTCCTTTATACTATTTAAACGTGTTAATTTAATTTATTTACTTTGAAGTGACTAAAACTATGCTACGAAACTCATTGAAATCATGAACAAATCTAAGTTAGACCACTGTTGAAAATCTAGAAATAATGGACAGTCATTTTATCTTAGTACGAAACTCCTCAACAATGCCAACCCACAACTCCTGACGTTCGAACCGAATACAGGATCTTTGGTTTCGCAGACGAATACTTAACATCAAAATCATTGAACCAGCACCCAACGGTGTTAATGACTAAGTTCACTCGATCCACGATATTGCGCGATCACCTTCCATCCTTGGTGAATAGCTGCCTTATACTCGACATAGTTTAGCTATACAGGTCACGACTTCTCACTAGAACTCCGGAAATTTTCTGTCGAAGCTAGTCACTAGTGAGCACGTGATAATATCAGTATGGAGTTGTGATCTAACTTGAGGCAATCCACGATATCGCTCCATCATCTTCTAATGCGTTCAGTGAATTAAACTCGTACACTATTGGAACCCAGCTCAGTGGTCTAAAGGTTAAGTGTTTGAGGTTCTGGGTTCGATTCTTACGTCCAGAGTTGTCGGTGTGCGCTGCCAAGGAGTTCCATACTAGTACAAAATGGTTGTTCAGTGCTACTCCAACATTGAAACGTTCATGGTTTCAACGAAATTTAATAATCTCCACAACTCCATATTGATGAGTTACGAAATATCAGGAATTTAAATTTCCACTCATTGGTATAACATAAATAAATCATAACAATCAAAACCCACCACTACACAATCCATTGTTCCACTATATACAAACTAACAATCATACTTATCGTGAAACTAGGGATACATTTGCATCACTTCGAATTGTTATATCACATCAATACAGAGAGATGCTAAAATAGCATAAGTAGTAACAATATCAGTAGTAGTGCGGAGAGGTGACGTCGAGTGGAGTGTTCTGGCGGGGCGGCGTTGGTTGTAGCGGGTGCTGTCGACGGAGAGGAGCAATGGGACGTGCAGCTGCTGGGCGGATATCGGATGTAGATGGCTCAGCAGGTCGGTGGAGCACGGGTGTTTAGCGTCTCAGGTGCCGGGTGGATGTCGGATGTTGTTTCCCCGGCAGGTCGACGGAGCTATGGAGATCAGCGCACCGCAGACTCAACACTCTGACGGAGAGCGTAGCACAGACTGTAGAAAAGCAGAATGTGGCACGGTGAGCATGAACCACCACAAGAACGACTGCTTTAAAGGGGGACGAGTGTGGTGCGTGCTACTTATATTGATATAAGTAGTATGTGACGCGAGTCAGGAATGTAATGTCTGGCAGCAGAAGATGGGGAAGATCAAGAAGAGAAGAGCGGGAATAGAAAGCAATTAGTATGAAAATGCAAGAACAACGAAGTTCGAGACAATTATTGAACATTTTGCAAATTAAGTATTATAGTATGATTTTTCCTATTTTACCAAGTAGCTCTGTAATTTTGTGCTAAATATAATTTAATTGTCCCCACCCGTGTTCTGATCACTACAGTAATAGTAGTGGTAGCAGTAGTAGAAAGCATTAGACACGTAAAAATGTGATTGAAGTAAATAGAAGTTTGTGAAATGAAAAAAACTTGAGACTAGAAGAGAAGATGAAAAGAAAGTTCAGTCGCGCCATTTCGAATAATTCCAAATCATGTTGTAGTGAACAAGAAAACAAGTGGAAACAATCGAATGTATTTAAATATAAAATTACAGAACGTTTTAATCAAATCTGAGAACCATACAGTAAATATTTCAGTGGTAAAATATCAATCAATCGTTGCAGACTTCATTGTTTCTTCGTTTCCACACCAATTATTCTTTGTTCTCGTTTTCTTTTCTTCTATCTTCTTAACCTTCTGTTGCCAGACATTCCACTTTCGATTAGTGTTACACACACTACTTATATCTGTCGATATCAGTAGCACACACTATAATATCATCTAAAATCTCTAATCATTGGTTACGATAATCAACCAAGCAGTTTGTACATATTTACATCGTTCAGTTCAATAGTAAATAACTTCATGGATTTTATGATGTCACGTTTTGGTTTAATTGTGTCTTAGACAATAAATTGACGATATTTATAGTCAGATTACAAGGAACAGTTACGTACTATGATGAACTTTGAATATATGAAATCAGACGTATGAGAAACAGATGGTATTCAGATAAATAGACAAAACAATAAGAACTAATTTACAGCCACATCTTTAATCAGATTTGAAATCATTTAGAACAATTTTCTCTTATATTTATAAAGGATTTCATTATAAATAAATAAATCATTAGGACAACTTACATCTGGATCAGAATATGATACATTTGCAACAATATTCTCACAATATATTTTTTGATTGAGATCATGAACTGATTGATGTTAGACCACCATTGGAAACCTGAAAGCGCTAGACGTCCGTTTCGTTCTATTGTGGGTCTCCCCCGCAGTGCGCATACACTATCCCGCTCGCGGGATTGGAACTTAGGGCCTTTGATCGTGACCAGTGAAGCTAATCCGTGTCAGTTAGAGACAGGTGTATCTACCTCAGTACAATGGGAGATGGTCGCACAATTCCGTGAATCGGTTGAAGTTAAACATTAACACCATTGGATGCCGGCTCAGCAGTTTAAAGGTTAAGTGTTCGCGCGCGAGACTTAAGGCCATGAGTTTGAATCCCGCGAGCGGGATCGTGTATGCGCACTGCTGAGGAGTCCCACAATCGGACGAAACGGCCGTCCAGTGCTTCAAGGTTTTCAATGGTGGTCTAACATTAATCAGTTCATGATCTCGATCAAAAACTCAACAACGCAATACTAATAAGAAATATCCAATCACAAGATATTATATATAGGATGTAGATTTGTTTGAAAGACGTCCCTATCACTAAAAATATAATGATATAAACTAAATATATTTTTGATTTGCACCATATACTACTATAATACAATAAGATGATCGGTGATCGAGATTGAGTTAATCTACAAGACTGGATGATACACAATCAATATGTTATACGAAGAATAGATCATTTTGTATTAGATAAACAGTTAACGATAATATAGAGAAGAAAAAATAGAAACTAAACAAAATGTTACTCAACACAAATACAAATCAGTTTACAACCAATGAATTCACATCAGTTAGTTCACAATCCAATGGCTAATCACATTTTACTGTCACTAACCACATATCAAATTTTATTTGGAAGAGTTTATTTACATTGATATACAGATATCTGCGTCACATAAATTATTCGATTTGTAGGAGAGCTGGAATACTGCTCGGGTGTTCAAACTGGAACAGTTGGTTTTCTTAGAGATCCACAAGGCAGTGGAGTATCGTAAGGAGATGCAGTCCCATCCCTCGGGATTCTGGAGTCTATGTGCACCGTTGTTTTAAAATCAGGGTTTCCGAACTTTCTTGGGGTGAATCCTCCATGTGCACCAACCCGGTTAAAGCGTCGAACATTCGCTTTTCGTCCTCTCAATTTCATAAACAACACCGCCGCCACGAGAAGGTAGTGAGTAGGACTTCCCTGGAAGAGGCTGTATACACGTGGTCATGTGAGAGCGTTTCAAGAGGGAGAGTTGATTCTCCCAACCCTCGGCCGCACCAGGGCATTTGGGGGTGGATTTTTATTCATAGTCATTAATTTTTAGTAAAAGTTAAGTTGTAGCCAAAAATGGAATCCAGGACTTGTGCTCTATCCTATTTGAAACTTAACAATGAATAACACGTTGATGTTTGCACTAATAGTTACTGGGTTCAAACATGATCTCAAGAACGAAGGTACATCCAACTGATAAGTCCCAAATAGGATGATATAAGCATCTTGGACTCCACTATAGACTATGATCTAACTTTACTAAATGCAGATAGTTCGTTTAATTTGATGCATTTACAGGAGTCACTTTTAATCTACGATATATAGTTAATACCTTCCATACAATTAACACTTAATTGTTGCTTAAATCATTAAAGAATTTTTTTATAAATTAACTTACTTGTCCAGATAATAAAGAAATACGTGCAAAACCTCGACGATTCTCCCACATAACTGTATAAAATTCATCAGAGAATAAAGCTTCTCTAACACCACCGGGAGAGATTAATAATACATCACCTTGTGAAACTTTACCATCTAATTATAAGGTTAGAAAAAAACAAACATATATAAAAACAGATGGGGTTTTGTGGATATTATAGTAATTTTAATAATTGGGATCATAAGTATCACAGTAGGATCAAAACGGCCATCCAGTGCTTCCAGGTTTTCATGGTGGTCTAGTGTAAATTGACTCATGATTTCAAATATTAAAATCACATATATAATAGAAAAAAACAAACATTGAACGAACACAGATACAGAATAATATGAATTCATCATAATTTGTGGTTTCTCATCATCAGCTTCTTACAACCATTGATATGTATTGGAAGCTGATATTGAGGTAAGATATAGTGTGGAAACAATCGACATAAGTGAATGTACAGGTCACTATAGGGTTAAGGAGATTATTAAGGTTTTGATTGAGATTATAAACTGATTGATGTTAGATCCCGCTTACAGCATCATGGATGCTCACTGCTGAGTAATCCTATAATAGGACAAAACGGCCGTCCAGTGCTTCCAGGTTCTCAATGGCGGCCTAACATTAATCTGTTCGTGATCCCAATGTTAAGTGTCCACGCACGAGATCGAAGGCCCTGGGTTCGAATCCCGCAAGCAGGGTCGTGAATGTAAGAAACTAGAATGACAAAGGTTATGAATCATGACGTTCTCTCTCTCTCTCTCTCTCTCTCTCTCTCTATATATATATATATATATATATATATATATATATATATATATATGTACGGTCAGTCAATTACAACGTAGGACGAGGCACATATAGGCATCGGTCCAAGTTGCAATAGCTCATTAGCACAGCAAAACGAACATCGGATTCATAGAAGCAGTTAACTCAATGGTGTAATATATAAAGGAAAGATTTTATATAAGGATATAGTACAGAAAGAATTAGTTGGTAGAAAGAAAGATATGAATCGATTTTAATCGCATAGTTTAAGGGAAGACAGAGAGGGTATACACCTACGCTATTGTGATCGATTGTGAGCCATATATCACCCAGAGTCTCCAACCATTGGTTACGATAGTCACATCCCGACTGAATGTAAGCGTATCACATAATTAAATTAACGACAACATTATAGCCTAACTTACTTTTGAGAATATGACCTGGTTGCAGATGAGCAACACATTCATCAACAGAACCTTTAATTGCACCGATTGTTTCTAGTAAACGTCCAAGTCCAGGTACACGAAATAAAAATCTGTCTACAACAGGAACAGGAAATCTGTAGAAATTCATAAATATACATAAACACATGAAATAAGTTTTTAAAAACAAGAAAGGTTTAACAAGTTACGACACTATACACCTAGTCGATGAATTATATGTATATAAAATTGTGAAATGTAGTCACACACCTAACTTAAGCCTTGAAGGCATTGAATACATAAATTCGTACTTGGTAAATAAACTCACATAAAAATGTGAGATAGTAATTAACTGGTGAAATTGGAAAGGGATCACATTATGTTAGAAATTGATGGGAGAGGAAAACGTGTATCATTGGATACAGGCTCAGTAGTTTCAAGTGTTGTGTTAGGTTTGATTATGTATGACGACGGAAAATTCGCCGAAAAGTAGGGGTAATAACTATTGATTGTGAACACGATGATCTTTAGCGCTGTCCGAAGTATAAGGGCGATTGTCATTTCCCGGCTGCCCACATCGTGGGAGTATATTTCTTCTTGAGACCTCGAAAATGAGCTGGGTTAGTGGTCATAGTTACCTAAGAGAGTGGCCGCAGAACTCAAGGTACAACTGCTGATGCCGGTCACACATAGCCTTTTTACCGGAATTTCTTGACTTTATAGCTTCTTACTTGGAAAGCTCTTACCGCTTTCGATGAAAATCCATTGGGTAAAATGAGATGTGATATTTATAGGGCGAACATTTTTGACTCTATCTTCCCGTTGTGAGAAGGTAGTTCCACTGCAGATGTTAATTGTCTGACGGAAACAACTTACTACTGTCAAGACCTCTACAGTCAGCAGTACAACTTCCCTCTCGGACCTTAAGTCGTTTCATTTAATCTTACCACCCTGTCCGAAATAGTGAGATTTATTTATTTATTTAATATATAAACATTGGTACAATGAGGCATCAAACACATATGCGCCGCACAAATCAAATGATTTTTGTGAGGGCTAGGATACTGCCCCGGCGCCTAAACCGAAGCAGGAGGTATGATAAGACCTAATGGAACAAGTGTTCCAGGCAAAATGGATAAATTAAATACTCTTTTTCAGGGAAATGAACCGCATCAAGCATACAAACTACTTATAGAAGTATTGGATACCATTTAAAATTAATCATGCAGCAGTCATAAAACAACAATAATAAAAGACACTAAACTTCTACAACACTAACAAACGTTATTTAACTCTAAAACTTCCACCTTCATGAAGGATGAAAGTCAAACAAGCCGAAGAACCGAATCACTCCTAACTACGGTTGAATTAGAACACTCTATATGTTAAATGAAAAACCATAAGGCCCCTGGCCACAATAGTATAACATCAGAAATGATTAAATTTGGAGGACTGAAATTAAAAACAATCCTACTGTAAATAATGGATAGCATAGGGAAAAACCTCAACGAAATCCCAATTCATTGGTTAGACACAGATGTCATCAGCATATACAAAAACAAAGGATCATGCAAAACTTCAACAACTATCGGAGTATATTCCTACTCGATACGATAAGAAAAGTATATGCTGGAATGATCTGTGAGAGACTAAAAACTTTAACGGAACAAAACCTCCCTCCAAATCAATTCAAAGTTCGAAAACGTCTTACGATTACACATGCAATCACAGCAATCAGATATAATACAAGGTGAATTATATACCAATCAAGAACTAATACTGACTTCCATTGACCTCACTAAAGCTTTCAACTTATTACCAAAGAAAATGATTCTAGATACATTCCAAAACTATGTCCCTTAAACAATATCAACCGAAACATCACCCAGCTGTTAGATGGACATAAAGGCTACAAAGAAGGTACACAACTACACTTCACTATGTATAGAAGCGTACAAAAGGGAATTAAGGAGGCCCGCTTCTCTTCCATATCGCCTTTCAAGAAATTCCTAATTCAACAACAGATAAGATACCAATTGACCTTGACCTGTCCGACGAAAACAATACAACCTGAACATTATCGTACATAGAATTTGCTAATGACCTATGTCAAATAACTACAGCCACTGAAGAAACGACCAAAACCCCGACTTCCCTCTAAAATCACCTAACAAAGCTAGGAATGAAAATATCCTATGACAAAACCAAAGTCATGGTAATGAACTAACAAAGCAATGCACTTAAAATAACCATCAACAACCATAAACTCGAAGAGGTAACTACATTCAACCATCTAGGATCAGTGCTAAGAAGCGATGGAACTCCTGATGAAGCAATCCAAACCAACATTGGTAAAGGTAAAACAACATTTATCGAAATAAGAACAATACTATGCTGCACAAATATTAGCAATACGAACAAAAATCAAGTTGATTTATTTTTCAATAACCCCTATCTTAACCTATGGGTTACGGAAACTCAGATGGAGAAAACCAACTTATTGTTTTATGCATAATTACAAAGTGCCTTCAAAAATATGAAAACTATACATTAAATACTTCATTGTTTCTTTATTCCTGTTATGATTTTGTTTGCTTTGAGTTTCCTTATTTCTTCGCTTCATTTTAATTTCCTCAACCTCTTATTTGCAGGTATTTCACTTCTAGTTGGTGTTATATACTACTAAAGTCTGCAAACATAAGTAGCATACACCACATTCGTAAGGAAAAAAGACTTGACCAGATTAAAAGCAGTCTTCAATACTCCTCATGGGATGATTTGGGGTATCAATGATAAAAGACAACTTACAGCTAATCAACTACACGATTGCATAGCCCTCCCTAACCTAGCACTGGAAATACTACAAAACAGGATAGAAATGTGGAGTGTAGCACATAAAAGACAAAATAGCTTAATGATTTGGTCTTTAAACACCCAAACAAATAATAAGACACAACAGAAGACCAGAATATAGTAAAAGCCGGTCACGACAATTAACACATGACCTGGACCGAATTGATTAAAAACTCCCTCAAAAATGGCTAACAAAACTCATAAATCTACGTGACTATAATCCGAAAATAGTTGGCAAATAAAACCTGATATAAAAATGAGGAGACAGTAACTGTAAACGACTATTTGCCACAATTAAGGAAACGAATAGGTATAACAGAAATGACCAGCAACGAGAAAAAAAACAGACTTCATGCCTCAGGGGGAGTATAAATGTCCTCTAGGAGATTGTACAAAAACCTACAAAAAATGAAGGATGGTTCAAAAGATACATCAACTCATGCCATTTCAAATCAAATCAACTAAACCAAAACCCTCAAGAAATACGAGCACCTAGAAGAACCGGAAATACAATATCAAGAATAAACAATGATCTAGATGAATATTCATATCCTGGACGCGACAAAAAATTACCAACCTCAAAAGGAATTACCAATCATTGCTATGTGGTACATAGATGGTCTATCATCACTGGACAATAAGTAAAACCAGGAACACAAAAATCTGCAAAAACTAATGCGCCCCGGTGGTATCGCCCTGCTTCCATGGGTGCCTTTTCTCAAAAAGAGCCTACTGGGTTCATCAACTATGTTTGACTTGGAGAGGCACGCTAAGGTATGGAACTACCAACATTATATCTAAATTTTACATATGAGGTTTGCCGATAGTACTATGAGATTTTACAAACCGAAATAATTATTAGATTACCGTTCTATAGTCAATCATTATTAACGTAGAGCCTGGCAAATATGTACATCAGATCAAGTTGTCATATGCCATAGGAACAATGAGATGAAATCGTCAGGACGAATCTATAAGTGGTAGATGTAGTTATATAAAATATCAGACATCGAAGATACGATTGGAGAAAACATAAATTAGTGAAACAAAATAAAACTTTATAGAGAATTGAAAAACCAAGGGACGATTCAAAGCCATGTATCACCCAAAGTCTCTAACCATTGGTCACAATAATCACATAAACTACAATTACATAGTATGCAACTACCCACATGGCTCAATCCAGTTGTCAGTGTCTTCATGAAATAATGCCATGTCTCGGTTTTGCAGTCGCTAACTTTCCCCCAACCTGCCCCTACAGCAGCCATCATCGTGAGTTCAGGTGATATGTTGATGAACATAAACAGTACAAGTCTTAACCATCTTCAAACGAAACCATTCGATGAAACGACTCAGTAGTTCACCGTTTTCATTCGACTAATAGTGGAATGCAATTAATTGACTGATTTATATGTAGAATAACTGATTGTATTCCCCAAAAAGCCATAGGTTATACAAAATTTCAAGCGATTCCGCAGAAATATATATACAAGTTTTTGTGGAGATTAGTTTAGTCTGTACATGATAAATGTCACGAATTGACCTCAGCTGATTTCTGAAGGAATGAATACCACCTACAAGTACTTACAGAATGTTCAAAATAGGTTCGATGAAAAGCATTCAACTTTTCAATCTCGTTGTCTTTAGTTCCAGATACACCTGAGTACTTGTAAGAGAATTCATATTATGAAACTAAAAATGCTAGCGTTTACTAATGAAATACATTAGAATATATTTGAAAAAATATTTTTAGCATAGGGTGCTTTTGAAAATTGTTGAACTTTGTAGTTCAACATTACCGACAGATATTTAAACAACTGCTGAAAACCAGAAAGCATTGAACATCTGTCTCGTCCTATGGCGGAGCTCAGAATTCCCCGCCACAACACCACTAAGGGTTGAACTCAATAAATTCAGAGGTCATACAGAGCACTTAGCGTCATAATCGATGAGCTGAAACTTAATGATTTAAATCTCCAACTTCAAACAATGTTTAACAGCACGAAGGTTGTATGTGAGCACTATGTCATTTTAAACATGCCGGAACTGCAGCAGACACAAATTTCCGCTGGGACTCGTCTCGAACTCAATTACAAGTGAAGATAAGACTACAGTTCGGTTGATGGGTTTAGTGAAGATTATCATAATTGATGGTTTTCATCACTAGGTAGCTTTCAAAAGTCTCCTAAGTGCTTAAAGTTTTACTCTGATATGGTGTGGTGTAGCAACTTGATTCAACGCTCACATGTGACAGATTCTACGTTACATTTGGCTGGATGAACTGATTCCAATCCATGAGACAAAAGAAAACAAAACTTATAAGAGTAATTTCTTACCTATCTCTTTCAATACAATACCTCGATGTAAAATAATATGCATCAAATGGACATGTTCCATGATAATAAACTAAATAAGCTGGTCCATTTGGTGGTAATTTCTCCATACCAATTACTTCGTAACCGTGAAATATACGTCCATGAGCATCCCATACAGCAGCAACAATACGACGTAATAATTCTGCTAGTGAATCTAAATATATGTGACTAGTAGATGATATAGATATTGATGGTGAAGTTGACGACTGTCTGAACTTGGACAATAAACGATTTAAATGACGACGTAACCAAAAACGTAAATGGTATAAATGAAGTAAAATTACAGTGAAATAAATAAAAAAGATTAACAAAAATGGAAGTAGAAAACATAAAAGAAGCGGATGACGTAACCAATAAACAAATGCGATTAAATATCCAGATCCAGGCAAACTAATAAGATAATCTAACCAACTGGATGGTATAATATTAGTTAATGTTTGATTCCCAGTAAATAAAGCGTATAAATGATAGAATAAATTCTGTTCATCCTGAGCTAGACAATAGGTGGAATGTAACCAGAAGGATAAATAAATGACAAGACAAAAATTCATTTCTTTACAGATAAACAAAGAAAGTAAGGAAGTAATGAAACGAACTGTTCAATATTTTCTACTTTCAAAGTTGGAAGATAGATGGACAGGCAAAAGGGAGAGAGAAAGCATAACATTGGATATTATCAATGTATTGTCATTATCTACAATAAAATCGGTAATAAATAAACATAAATTAGTTCCATTTGAGCAACCTTATAAGTCTTTACAGATTTTCAATAACAAGTTGATATAAGCTGAAAAGTGATTTTTAAAAATGTAGCCCTTAAATGCCCTGGTATGGCCGTGAGTGGGGAGAGTCGTATCACCCCCTCTAAATGCTCTCACATGGCCACGCGTACACAGTCACTACCAGGGAAGTTCTACACATTGCCTTCTAGCACTAGAGGTGTTGTTTACAAAATTGAGAGGACGAAAAGCGAATGTCCGACGCTTTAACCGGGTCGGTGGATTCACCTAAGGGAGTTGGGAAACCCTGATTCTAAACCAATGGTGCACATAGGTTTCAAGATCCTGAAGGAAAAAATGGCGTATGAACCCATTATTGGTCACCTGATACCATGGAACTGAATCTCCTGACGTTGCTCAATTGCCTTGTGGATCATACTTTTAGGTCGAAGGCTCCGGGCGTGGCATACCAAGAAAATCACCTGCTTCGGTCTGGGCATACGAGCCGTATCACATCCCACACACAAATCTAGTGACCTGTATTCGGTGCCCCTTTGTACCAATATCTATGTGTATAAATAAATAAATAAGCTACAATAGACAGTCATTATCTTTGTACTGAGTCAATCATTCTAAATCACTAGATCATTAACATAGATTTCAGGAATAAAAACTATATATATCATCTTGAACAATCGAAAGGCTATTTGACAAAATGAACAAGGTAAAGACACGTAAAATGTGTTGACAGTACAGGGAATGTTTGGTTTAATTGTTGTTTTTCTTTATAGGAGAAATTTATCAATTTGAAGCCTTAACGCTAACATTGAAACGATTAAAATGCAACCGATCAAATCAACTCAGTAAAAGAACTGCAAATATTTACGATACGTAGGCAGTAGTCTTTATACTTATATATATTAAAGTTCTAGTTCACAGACGATTTGCCTAGACTTATGTTTATGATGAAGTATCCCGATTTCCCTGTTTTGAGGAAAATGTTGTCCGTTTTCAGGAAAGTTTGGGGAAGCCACAAAAGTAAACTTTGGGGAAACGGCACAAAAGCCCCAAATTTTCAGCAGCTTTTGGGAAAATCCCTCTGACTTTTAGCGTAAATGCTGTACATTATACTTGGTATCAGTATGGAAAGCTCCAAAGTATCGATTGTTTCTTCTATATTCAGGCCCCACAGTTCTGCAACAAACTTTGCCGCAACCCATGTACCTCAAGTTCAAGCGTTTAGCGTTATCGGTTTACTTGCTAGGAAATCGAAAATTACATAATAGCGTTACGGAATCCGTCAGAATGGATTTAAGGGACTTTCTTAAGGAATATGAATAGTGTTATGGGTCTAAAAACTTAGTTCGTTGCAGCACCTTCCTGACGATTTCCGTGCACATGGACCTAGAAAGTTTTTCAGATTTTCTATTTGAGTCTTATATGAGACAAATTAGGAAATCAGTGCACAGCAGGTATGCTGTTGCCAAGCAAGCATCTCAGCGTTATGCGGAAAAAATGTGTTTCTGTAATGGGCTTCAAGCGAGCATTTCGACTAATAGTACCCCAATAACCGATAAAGGTGACTCACGTAAACAATTATGCATAAGAATACTAAAATAACTTCATTTTAGCCGGATAATGTTGTACTAGTACACGGAAAGCCTGGTTTGGTCACTGATGAAGAATCCGTCAGAAGGGACTTACGAAACTTTCTTAAGGAATACGAATGGTTTTATGGGTCTGAAAACTTAGTTTACAATGTGCATTTGTTACAGCACTTTCCTGACGACGTTCGTGCACATGGACCTTTAGATAGTTTTCCAGCCTTTCCATTCGAGTCTTACATGAGACAAATAAAAAAATCTATGCATAGTGGGTATGCTGTTGCAAAGCAAGCAGCTCAGCGTTATGCTGAGATGCCCTTCTGCGATGGGCTTCAGATTAGCTGTCTAACTAATATTATCCCAATAGTCGCTAAGGAGGTCTCCAATAAACAAGTAATTATGTTTAAGAATAGTAAATTAACTTCATTTAAACCTGATAATGTTGTAGTAGTAAACGGACAGCCTGGTTTAGTCGCTGAATTAGGGGACGATGGACTACTAAAATTTAGGTCTTTCACTGACCCACGCAATTACTTCGAAGATCTTTTCTCATCCACTGATATAGGAATATTTATGTGCTCCCTAGTTAGCCATGAATACACATGGGTATCGGTTTAGGACATTGACTCTAAATGTATAGCCATTAATTGTATCAATTATTTAGTTATAGTCCCATTGTTACATACCTTTACGTGAATGTATTTTGTTTCATTTGTGTTTAATTCATGATTATAAACCATTTCATTACCTCTTATGTTACGTTTAGCCCGCTAACAAACAATACGTCATTGTTGACATTCCTAGCAAGAAACAACTTATGATAACAGCCAAGCAGTGGATTGTTGGCAAAAAACTGCCTTTTTCCAACGGAGCTGGTCGATATCCACCTGCAAAACTGCGACCGGTCAGATGACAACTGGTCAGTTCTGAAATGTAAAGTAATTCACGAAATCGGGTAGTAACAAACATAGAAACTATAATTTACTATAGATTCTCTGCAGTCTGCAAAGGATATGTTAGTTTCCCTCCAAATACTGGAACTTCACCGTAAAAACACTTCATCGGAAGAAAACACCCTGCTACTCAACACTGAGAAGCCCAAGAAGTCAGTACAATAATCTTACTAACATTTCCTAGAGGTGCACTGAAGCGTAAAGAAGGATTTCTTTACAATTCAGTAGACATGGATGTTGCCAAGATGCAGGCTGGAAATAGCCACGTACAATATCCGAAATTCCGGTTGCTTGACAAAGTCGCCTTGTCAACTGTCAAGTACGTTTCATTACCATTTAGATGTTAATGAAGTAGTTCGACACAATTAGATACATCACCGTCAACATTAGAATCTAAGCATGTAGGCTGTGCTTCAGCGGCCCAGTAAGTCACCTGTACAAGTGAAGTTTATCAGATTTGATAGGTTGTATACAATGATGCAAAACATGTCGTCAGCTATTACTGACTTGAGTACAAATGTAAAGCTGCTACTAGCAAGGTTCAGTGAACGCGAACATCCGCATCAATTAGACTGTGGACTATCAAGTCAGCAGTTCCCTTTTTCATCTGAAGAGGAACTGCAGATGCTGAACACTGGTTTGTAGCAGAAAGAAACCAGGGACAGATTTGTAAGTCAACAACATTAATTTTATAATTTGTCCGTATTACAGATGGCCATGGTAACGAGGTTAATGGATAACGATCCTAAAACCCCAATGCGATATGTTTTGTCGTGCCTCATAACACCTGAGATTGCCAGTAATTTCACAATACTTGGCACTTCTTTAAAACAAGCACTTCAGAAATGCCGGTTTTACGTCAGAGACGAATTGATAAAGCGCAATAGGAAATAAGAACAGGTATGTACTAATTCAAGGTGATAACTTCCCTACTGCTTTATAGTTACAGTCAATAGTGTTAACTAACATAACCGTAAGTGAAGCTTCAAGTATCTGGCTGTGCCAAAGCATATCATTCAGATATCGTTGTAACTTCTTTCGTTCTTTACACTTCAGAATTCACAGGAACATTATTTTCATTCTCAATACGGATTAATCCGAAGTGTTTTTTATGTTCCATTTATTTTTTAATAAACATTATTTTGTAAATGAGCTTACTTTCTTACTTACATCAGAAACTATTTAAGTGTTGAGAAGTTGTGTTTGATTGTCAGTGAACTTGCAATTAAATACACATGCCTTATTAATAATACATCACCTGTTTATTCTTTTGGAGATCTTTTCAAATAACAACGAATTGTCAACTACAATGAAAATTCATAACGCTTTATGCTTAAGCTTCTGCTATAATGTTGTACAATAATACGCTTTTCCTTTTCAATAAACTTATTTAAACATATACCATTTTTCCCGTGGGTTGCAGTCTTAGTGTGGTTTGTTGTGGGGACAAAAGCGAACATAGGAGACCTTTGGTATATGTCAATAGTGTTCTAAAAGTTGGAACAAAAGTAGACGATTCAGCCTAAATTTAGGCAAAAAGTAGACGATCTGGCGTATATTTAGGTGAAAAATAAACAATTCAGCGGATATCTAAGCGAAAAGTAGACAATTCAGTGACATTTGGGCGACAGAGCGACAAAAATGGGGAAATCCGCATCATTTCCCCAGGATAGACGAAAAAGCAGACATTTTTGGCAAGTTTCTCCTTTATTTCCCCTTCGTTGCAACGATTGGGTAAAGAGTAAAATGCATGCAAAATATCCAAAGGTTTTCAAGAAAGTTTTAATAAATAAAAGTAACTGATCTATCCTCAGATAATGAAGAAACTCAGGAAACCGCTTACGATATCAACGACTCATATCCGAGGTTTCGCAAAGTAAACCAACGCCAGCGAATTACCTTGAACAACCAATGCCGCGAACTGAAAACTGATGGATTGTAACATATTCAAAATTTTCTCACTAACTACCGCTTTCATCTTATTATCCTACTGTCACTAGTTTTTGTTAATCAATCTGAAAATCGAGTGAAGGCTATTCGTTGTGCTGATAGAGTCGTCTGCTTAATGCTTTTCACTGACTCTTTCCACTAATACAAACTTTTCCATGAAAGCTGTCTATCACACTACCACAGCAAACAAAGTACATTTGGCTTATATATAATCAAGCTGTTTAAAGAATGAAAATTATTCTTATTGACAGAATAATTTGAATATATATGGAGTAAATGTGTCCCTTTCCAATATGGTAATAAAAGAAGGTTGTAGGGTCAGTGAAATGTCACTGAGCCCTAACTAAATCATCCGGCAGCTGGATCACTGAATATCGGACATATCATCGATTCCTGTCAGGACCACTGACAACCAACAGGCATCAGTCAATCGTAAGCCATGAACTGGTCAATGCGGTTGTAATCACATTTTCGCTTCTACCTGCTTTTAGTAATATATTCCCGTTATAACGTCTTTTGTGTTGTACAGTCTTCAAAGCATCCATAGTATCGTGATACAACGAAGGGGCAGTCCACATTAGGTAGTGACCGCGAGGTGTGACTCCAACGTTAGCTGTTGGTTACACTATTCCCGTCTAACTCGATTAGGCCCCCAACCACTCGACAAAAATCATCAATGTTGATGATCAGAACGGTAAAAGATAGGTTAATAAATGAAGGATCAGTATGAGGACTGAAAACAAACGATATTTTATGATGCCACAGCCACAAAAATATTTTTTATGATGTCCGTCACTTCAACTCGAACCTTCAGAAGAAACCTTCATTTCATCACGACATAAATATCAACATCTAACTAAATTAGGCCTCCAATCATTAGATACAGATCATCTACGCCAGTGACTTACACGTACATCTCACAGCAAGACGATGTTTAGTTAAGTACAAATGAAGTTGTAGCAGTACCGGATGACAAAAAACAAAAGATTCTGTAGATGAAGCTCTGATTCCAGAGTCAAAACACAGCCCTATTGGCCTTGCAGAACTCTAAAGCCGGACTCCAGAAAAAATAAACTCATGTTTCACGCAACATTTATCGAGAAAGTTGAAGGGATTCGTATTCAGAAATTAATTGAAGCAACACACTAAATACAAGTTTACCAAATATACATTCAAAATCATGTGAGAAAAAAGCTTTAAATTAATCAACCTCTTATCAGATTTCTCATGTTATCATACCAGATATTGGTTTTCCTAGTGATTCACATATTTTTGATGGAAATCCTTACAAAACTGAGAAGAATATGTCGAATGAAACAAATCATGGTCAGAAATCTAATGCTGACTTTTTTCTAATGATTCATAGTTCTCCAATGAGGTCTTAAATAAATTTGAGGAAAATATTTCATATGTATCAAATCTTAATGATGTCACATCAAATGTCATTTGTCCTCATAGCGCACTTGTTTCACGTGGAAAACTTGGTTATTGTGAAACACAAGTTCAAAGTGAATTCAAACGTTATAACAGTTTAGATGATCCCATATCAAATGTTATTTAACATCATTATGAAGTTGTAGTGGCATTGGATCCTAACCACAATCCTCAAAGCTGAACGTAAGATAACCGGGGAAAAAGAATTTCAGCATGTAACACTAAGAGAAGGTGAATTGTGATAGACGTGGTAACATTCATTCAAAATTAAAATCATCGGATGGAATGGGTTGACCTTTCAGGCGTGATCATTCTGTATGACTTGTTTTTACGTATATTAAATGTATTGTTCTATCTCCAGCCTGAATGTGTTCTCCATCATAAATTGGTAACTGCTACGATTTGAACCAATGCAGACAGTGATGCAACTTCCGCGTAAGATCTTATACCTTAGGCAGTTACATTGTGATAAATCTACAATTTTAGGATTAGATATATTATTAGGCTGTACTAAAAACGAAATAGACCGTAATTCTACAAAGTCAATCCTAATGGATCCACTAGTCAATATGAGAATTATGTTTTAAATAAATCTAAACAGTTTGCAACTTTACGATATTGAGATCCAACACTATTTCATGGGAGAGGATGATGTCAGAATCTAAACGTCCAATCTCCAAGAGGATGAGGTGTTAATTCCTAACGACGAATTATTGAATGGTAAATGCTATAAATTATTATTACATATATTTCTATCAGAGAACTATTGAGCAACGATGTTATGTGTATGTTCACATTCCTTTAATCGTGTGATTTCATCTGGTCTATTGGCTACTATTATACTATTTACTATTCTCAAGTTACTCTCAGTCTATTTGTTAAAATCTCTCACTGATTCAGAATTGATTACCTTGGGTGGTATTCGTCTGAACTGTCCACTCTTCTTTAACTTTGTCGTTGACGTGCTTCTAGAGATGACATATTTCTCATCTAAATTTCCTGGGACCGAACTTATACCGGGAGATTTACTCGTTGACTTGGAATATGCCGATGACATAGTTCTATTTGGTGAAGATGTTGAAAAAATCCGGAGTCTCCTGACCACGCTAAGCAAAAATGCATGCGATTCTTCCCCTCAAAATGCAGAATGTTGCTTGACGATTAGGTTGCATCGATACCCGAACTAATGGTAGGGAATGAAGTAGTTGAGCGTGTTGATCGCTTCACTTATCATGGAAGTCTCATCAGTCCTTGTGGTCTGGTGTATGACAAAATCTCAGCACGGATATAGAAGGCTCAACTAACTTTTGCCAACTTGCGCCATTTATGGCGTATGCGAGATATACGTCTATCAACCAAAGGACGTGTTTACTGCGAAGCAGTTCGTTCCGTCCTACCTTATGGCAGTGAAACGTGGCCGGTAAGAGTAGAGGATATTCGTAGGTTACTAGTATTTGATCATACGTTTCTTCGAAGCATTGCTCGTATATATTGGGACCACCGAGTAAGTAACTCAGTTGTTAGGAAACGGGTACTAAGTAAGGATGGCAAATCAATTGATGAAGTAGCCAAACCTTACCAATTGAGATGGCTCGGACATGTGCTACGTATGCACAACCACCGACGTGCGATTTCTTGTGGTGTAGGAGTAGGTTTGAAGAAAGCCAGGGGCGGCCAGACCAAAGGTGGCGAAAATCCATGAAGTCTGACAAGTGGACTGAGCCATTTTGATAGGTGTAGACTACCTGGTTGAGATCCACGAGATGATAGCAACCGATAGCTAGAGAACTTGAATGTGACGTGGCTCAAAATCGTTTACAATGGTGCAGGTGCATCCACTCTCTGTGTTCTCCCAAATTCTAATCTTCTGAATTCACGTCCCTCATTTTTTTCTCTTTCTAAATTTATATCACTAGATTACATTCCTTGAATAACATCTTCAAACCCTACGTTGTTACTGACTGACTGAACTCAATATTTGTTTTTTCTTTTCCTTTGACTCGTGATTTTTAATTAATATAGGTTCATTTAGATCTAACTCCTAATTTCATGGCGTTTAGATTTCTTTTTTATGAATCTTAATCCTTCATTAACCGCTCCTTTTGTTATAGGATTTTCCACATTGGTGCTTGTCGCTCTTTACTCAAAATTAGTTGCTCACGTTGCTGCAAACAACTTGAAAACTGAGATTGTCATCCACCCTAAGGAGGACACCTGTTTCTGTTCTACCCGAATGGTAAAATGACGTGGTAAGCAACACACAGTAATTCACTCCGACGTAGCTGCGAAACCTTCCACGACTGATTCATATCACCGTTTGAAGTCGCCAGTTTACCATTCAGTTCTTTTCACTTCTGACGACTGTGATAGAGTGTGCAGAAGTTTAGTATGTGTTTAAATCCATACATTGCGAATTAAAACCGTTCTCTCTGTTAGACTTAGTGAGCACTCATGCAACCGAAAATATTGCCGTTGTATATTTTTACGACCACTAGCTGACGGAAATCATGCTGTTTTTCATTAGTGTTTGAGAACTTAGACACGGAATATGACCAGGTTTCATTTCAAAGATGAAGTCTTGTTAAAATATTTTAGTAGTGTTCTTTACTAATGGTGGAAAAGATCAACCTTTCATTACAACAGTGGTGCATTGATGATAGATATTCTGAATATCGACAACACAGTTGACTGATGATTACTTCAGCATCTTAAACGATATAGACCCAGTGATAATGGTGACATTCTTCCTGGATTCGTAAGAGCCATGATGAATATAACCGCCATGCCTCATACAATGATGATTGGTATATCTCTAAAAACGTTTAAGTTGACAGTGGATAAAAAGACAAAATTACCAGTTCGGCTAGTAAGTCGTTGGGTAAAGACTAAGGTAGCAACTGTTAGTTTGTTAGCCTAACCAATGGAGCCACCAAATTAATGAAAATATTTTTCTGATGTCTATTTTGAACTGTGTGATGAAGGGAAATTTTAGCCAGGATACAATATGGTCTTTGGAAAGGTCTTTCACACCTCACAAACCTCATTACAAAAACTGGATTAACTGAGGCTGGTAGGTGAGATTTCTACTGATCTACGTAAAGTTTTCTAAAAAGTCTATCACAAACGTTTGAAATTAAAGCCCAAATAATTTGAGATGCACCAGGAAATCAGAAATCGGGTAAATGACTTTCTCAATCATAGGAAGCAACAGAAAGGAGTAATAGGATCCTTGTAAAAACGGAAATCTGCGAGAATGGAATTCAACATTGTATGACACTTGACCCTCTTCTGTTGTTTACTTGGAGTAAATGACTCACTAAAAGTTGAGAAATTATGTTTGCCACATTTTACTGGTGACAATACGATTTGGACATCCAATCACAACATGACACATATGATTTATTACACACATAACAGGTGGAGTGGTATAACTTAAAAAATGTAAAGACCAAAGGGTTGTAAGCTACAACGGACTTAGAACTGAATGCCAGTGTAAGAATGCCACTGCCAGAGGCTTGGAGGCTATACATGGTATACGTAGGTCATATACTTAATTAGATGAAGTGTTCAGGGTATTTTACGTGAAATTCAAGAGACCGCATTCAAAATACAGGGTCCAGTCAGCGAGTCCCTATTTCAGGTATGAACCGGGTGTGCTACAACGTGTTGAACGACGATGGACTAAAACCGCGAACGCTCCTACTGATCAATCTTGTAAAGACTTGCTAGGACATCCTGAAATGTTCCTGCCATACTTTCGGAAATTACGTGGTCTAATAATGACTTATCGTACCATGAATGGTTGTTTTGGTGCTAATATGTTTAATTTTTACCACTCATTTAGAACATATTGTCTGAGAGTATGTCAATATGTTCTAATTCGTTTTTGGTACAATTATCTCAGTTACTGTAATAATGAACCGGATCCTAAAATTGTAGATTTGTCATGACGTGACTGTCTGTTACATAAGCTCTTATATGGAAATCAATCAAAGCTTATAATGACACGTCCTATCATGAAAATCAGGAAAATATGACGTCTAGCACTACTGAAGGACACACTTTTAATGAGAACGGGGTTATAGATTTAAAACAAAAGGCGATAGGTCATATAGAGTAACCAAGCCCACATGGTCGAGTCATGCCGTTTAATTCTATGCTCCTGTGCCTTCAATTTTGACCTTCTCAAAGTGTTATGTGTTGAATGTAAATCTTCTCAGTATTTTTACATTCAGCTTCCAAGACCGAGTGATCAGGGACCGATACCACCAAAGGTTTCAATGTCAAGAGATTCACAAGAAACAAACTTGGTTCCACTCATGTTATTGACCTCTCTTAAAGACGTGTTAGATAAAACTTGCTCAAGGACACTGATCTGTGCAGACAACGAAAAGATCTAGAAGTCCGTAAGAGGCGTAGAGAACTCACTTGAACTTTTTGATATAACTTGTAGCGTGTGTGCCATGTTATTGTATAACGTGATGATACCGAGAGTTAGAGAACAGTGATTTATCGATCGGACCAATGGCGCATAAAATCCGTACGAGCAGTCTATAGTACTTATCGGTCCTGCTTCATTCCTAGCCCAGCCAGCTTAGTCCAGACAATCAATCTCAGCTTCTGCAATATGAATCCTTTATTTCAGACATACTCGGTCATTTATACCAACCAGACAGACCATACCGTACCGTAAAATCGGACAGAGCATAATTCAAGAATGGTAAATCCTACAATAATAGTCCATAAGTCAAAGCAAAGCTAAGGATAAGAAGAACACGTATATGAATAGTTTAGTCACTTAATATTGTTACGATAAAAATATACTTATAGTATTGGTCCAGAAATAGATTCCAACAGTTACCATTCATTATTCTTATCAGAATATAATAATAACCTTATAGCAACAGAAGAATGTGCAGTAGACAGTGGGTTGAAGCTGAGCCCGGAAGAATGTCATATCATGAATACTGCTTCATTAGCACTTACACCTACCGTAGAAATCCTCTCGCGACTGTTTCCTCAGAGCATAATCTCAGACTTATAACCATGGATAGCTCAAACACCAGAGATGCAGCCAAGGTAAGCACGAGCCTCCACATTATTAAAAGACAACTTGACGCGATCACTCTGAAGTTGATCTAACACTGTTTAAAGCCTACATACAGCACCAACCTGAAGTCTACAATATTGTTGCGCCCTCTCTCTTCACGAGACATAAAGCTCCTAGATCAGGTATAAGGATGGACAACCAACTAGGCTATAGGTCTGAAAAATAAATCTTACTAGCAGACTCCAACTCCTGTAATTATTCTTGTTGAGTCACAAGAGAATAATGGCATACAACATAATAAGCATAAAACATCACCTAAACGCTGCATTACTAAAACATAATCACCACGCCGCTGCAGGCAAATGTCGAAAGAATGCGTGTCAAAAACCGAATACACAAATGCGCTTTCGCTTTTTTTCACTAAGAGTTCCCCTCATTTGGAATTTATTTTCAGACAAAGTGACCATAGCCCCATCAGTGGATACCTTTGGGTGTGGCCCATCCTTGGATTACTATCTTCAGTTTGGATCAGAAGTATATGAAGCATGTCTCATACGTTAGCGTGATCATCATTAGCAAATAATCGTCTCCTCGATTATTTTTTCTGTTTCTATCTTATTCTTTCATTTCTGTCCTCTTACACACTACCAACTAATTAACTTATTTGTTACTCTTGAAACAGTCATCTCTTAGCACAAGAAATATCACTTTATGACTCCCACATTGCAGAAAGACTAACTCCTGCTTGATAGTGAAACACCTGTTGGTAACCGAGATCACTACTATCCTGAGGCATGCACTCAAATTTTAAAATACACAGATCCACAAACAACTATTAAAATGACTATAATTAGTGCAGTCGAATGGCTATATTAGCACATATTAGGCATCACCAAATACTTGAAAAATTAGTGAAACAATAATAAGCGGGCGCAAATAAACCAATCGGTTCATATAAGATCGTGGCAAAGCTACTGGTTCATGGATGTTGCGTAACGCACAAAAATGCAAATATTGCTTGCCATGTGCGGCAATCAGTTTCCCGTTTGCCGACTGTAAGTTGTAGGCCGGTTGTACAGTCGACCGGTAAAATTTGCTGGAAGAACCTTAAGTTCAGTGCTTGTATCGACAAGGTAACTTTCGCCACCACATCAGTGGTGTACTACAGACATCTATGTTTTCCAGCTACGGTTTCCGTTAACGTGTGCCAGGTTGGAATTTTCCAAAAACGTTTTCGTGTCGGAAGGTTTGGACGTTGAAAAACGTCAGGGCATTCTGCGATTTCTAGAGGACCTACCACATTTATTGTAATAACAGCACCAATCAGGATTATCTGCCCTCATGATCTAAAGACAGGCTGTTTTTGTGACGAACTTCTGAAAGTCTTGGAGCATCTGTAGAACTTTGGTCTACTATGATATTAGTACTGTTCTAATAATAGACCTAATCCTAAAATTGTAGATTTGTCATGATACAACTGCCTAATCTACAAGATCTTACGTGGAAGTCACACCATCGACTACACCAACTCACTGTATTGCATCAATTACCAATGCATGATGTAGATCAAGGTTAGGCTAGAGAATGAACAATATATTTAATATGAATAGAAGGTATAAGGTAACATTTAGAGGGACCACATCTTCATGGCCGAGTCATGCCATCCGATCAACTCCCATTCATTCAATTCCTTGTTCGCGCCTACTCCATCATTGAGTATTTCTCCGCGTTAAATATTGAATATCTATTTTCCGAGCAATCTCGTATTCAGCATTGAAGACTGTGTGGTTATTGTCCAATGCCACTACACATCTACCATTGCTATAAATGGTACGATAACGAGTCAGGGTATGGCAGTGGTCTGCGATATCTTTTGTGTTGTTTAAGGCTTTTCTTTAATGGAACAAACCCCGTTCCTGTGAGTTCAGTTGATCTTCATAATCCAGTCGGTAGATGCAGTCTGGACGTGTATAATGTTCTTTTTAAATGAAGCAAGCACAACCTGAACCTGTTAGGGAAGCTTAGATAAGAAGTGGTGTCTATACAGGTTCTCGTCAAAGGTCCGTTGACCATTAACCTCTCACATTTGTAGCAACATTTTTGTTTCTGAGCTATGTCGCAACCCTATATGTTGTTTAAAAGTTCGTCTGACCATTTCGTATCAGATAGGCCTTCTTCAAAGTGTCGTAACATCCCGAAACATCACTAGTAAACATGCATGGTGTGACGCAAGGTTAAAATCGCTCAGTAGTACCATCACTACTTCAAGGAATCGTGCACGTTTGTCTGTCAATCACTCTCGAGGAAGTCAGCTGCGTAACGGAATCAGGCTCTTATATCTCTGGTCCAGAATCGCATGAGCTGAATTTTGGGAGATGAAAGTGTTTGTGTCTTAAGTAACCTGAGTATCTGTTCGTTCATGATGAAGATAAGACATGCTAAAGGAGAAAATTTATCTGTAAATATAAAAACAATATCACAATATGTAAAAAGAAAAGTTAAAAAAATGGTGTGTGATTTTCCAACGAGGAACAGACTAATAGTCTACTGTTTGATGTACCAGATAACGTTGAAGATGTTACAGGTATTCGGAGTTTGACAACGCTTAAACCAGTAACACATTCTACTATGAATCGTACCGACCAAGTGAAATCTAGAGACAGAAGCGAGGAGGTTCAAAGATATATTTGATAGGCTATCAATATATCGAGGATCGTCTAACATAATTTGGCTAGCGATTGCAGGGGTTAGTGAGCACGGCATCCCCACTCGTGATCTGGCGCGGATGCATAACCGATTGCCTTCAGCTAGGTGAGCCCATTAAAACTAATGTGGTCAGCATCCAATATTGAAAACTTACAGGGCTATTTATTTTGAGGGTTTATTTACCGCTACAATGTCAGTCTCATCACAAAATATGTCACAGGTGTTCGGAGATTTACAACGCCTTTTCTCCTAAATTCTTTGTAATGGAGGTCTGCCAAACCAGTCAAACCAGAAGTCAGAAACGGAGAAGTTCGTAAATATGTTTAGAAGACTATCGGTGTATATATGTGTGCGAATCCTATTATTAACCTTCGTTTTATTGCGACTGTAAATTTGCCTCTGTATCTGCTCACACACATTCGCCTCTATGCTTCAAATTCTCTCGATGTGCTTATAGATTTGTGATCTGCGATATCCGCTAATAAACTGTAGTTATCGCTTCTTATTGCCTTCTGATTTCAAACGTCGTTATGATTTACATAATAACGGTTATCAAGGTGATTGATTAACAAAACAAGGCAACAAAACTACACGCGTTTCAAATTTAGTGTTGTACGTTCCCTTGTGGTTAAGATGTCGCAAATGCACGCAGTGGCTGATGATTTCGACGCATCTGAATTGAAATTCTCTAAAGGTATTTTCCCATTGGAATTAGACATCTTCCAGATTTTGAGAATGCCGATACACTTATGCTTGCTGAAGTTAAAATATTGTTGGAACATAGGTTTGTCTTAGTTTTACTCGTTTGGTAATAGACTTGATTATTTGGTATAATATTACATTACTTCGCAGTTTTCCTCACCTTTGAAATGGTTTATCATCGAAACATATTGCATCTTATTTTGGTTACGCAACTGAGCATACTTAAACGTGATTTTCAAAATTCATTGGTACTCATTTGGGTCCAGGCCACAGATTGTATTTTTAGTAGGTCGTTTTGGAAGAACTGTCTGAAGTAATTGATATTTGTCAACTTTATGGGAAACAGATATATACAAAGACATTTAGTGAACTTTTAACAAGGTAGTTCTTAGAATGTAAGCCTCAGAGTGGTTATCAAAAGGCAGGAATTCTTAGACTAACTGAGGTGACTGGGATAGCATATCGAACTACAAAGTTTTAACGCTCAAGACCTGGAGATTTTATCAGTCCTTAGGTTTCTGCCCATTAGTCACTCAGATAACGGTAATTGTATAGTGTAAACAGAGAGATAGCTATATGTTTTCTTCTGAAAACCTCTTAAATCTTTATAAGACTATTAATCATTATCAGATGTGTTGCTGATCATCTCTGCAACTTAGTATTTTACTGTCTGGTGTATTTTATTCCTCTACGAAGTTATCGACCTGTAGGGAAAGTTCTTATTGATAAGCATTTTTAATTTCGTATTACTAAAGGTGACTGCCTAACTTAGGTCCTCACCAAAACTCAATTTTTAAGTTTTTGGGACACGTAAACTGATTATAAACAAGAAAATCTCACGCACTGTTACATGCATGGGGGAGGTTGTAACTTCCTGATATTTCTTCTTGAGAGGTATGAAGAGGGAACTGTGTTAGTAGTGGTTGTGTAGGCCTGTCGGCTTGACCACAGCGCCTAGCCGACAACTTTTTGGTGGTGGTCTTACGGTCTTCCTATGGATAAGTTAGAAACGTGTTTAATCTGTGCTTAAAAAGACCTTAACGCATTAGTTAGAAATCCTTTGGATAACGTGACATGGTTGACATCTCATAACCCCTTCCATCCGTTGTGAGGAGATGGCACCACTGAAAACAACTGGTTGTCTAAGGAAAACAATTTGCTTCTATCACAGTTCAAGACATTCAGCAGTAAAACTTCATAGTCTCACCACAGATCTGCTGTTTTTATTCTTATTGCCCTCCAATTAACCTACCTGGCATGCTAAGACCTAAAAAACTAGTTTTCCAACCAATATAGCTCTGTCGGATCATCACGATAGGCAAGCCCAACCACTATGTTTAGGTAGAAACTGGAGTCGATACTTTTCTTTGATTTTTTTTCTAGAGTCTTATCTTCAAATCAATCTTTCCTATTACCACCAAACATTTTAGTACTTCTACTCTAGGATCCACCCTAGGTTCTACGTTCCATTTGACTTTATTTATTATTTGAATATATAGATATTGGTACAAGGAGGCACCAAATATATATGCGCCACAGAAATCTCATTTGATATGTGTGAGGGTTGTGATACTGCCCGGGCGCCAAAACCGAACCATGTGGTTTTCTTAGGGGGCTGCACCCCGAGGCTTTGACCTGAAGGTCTGATCCACAAGGCAGTGGAGCAACGTCAGGGAATGCAGTCCCATGGTAACTAGTGACCAACAATTGGTTGATACGCCATTTGTTCCTTCAGGATACTGAAGCCCATGTGCACCATTGGTTTAGAATGAGGGTCTTCCAACCCCCTTTGGGTGGACTCTCCGTGCCCATCAATCCTGTTAAAGCGTCGGGCATTCGCTTTTCGTCTTCTCAATTTCGTAATCAACACCTATGTTTCTAGAAGGCAGTGAGTAGAACTTCCCTGGTAGTGGTTTTATGCACGTGGCCATGTGACAGCATTTGCAGAGGTAGACTTGACTCTCTTTATCGTCGGCCGTACCAGGGCATTTAGAGGCAATAAAGTATCCTAACATTAATATTATCCGAAAGAATTGTTGTATAATGTATAAACTACTATAGCAATAACTAAAAATAAGTTAATTTTTAATGTTTTACTTTTAAATTACACAGAAAAGAACAAAATGAAAATGCAACAATCCATGAACTTGAATTATCACCAGTATTTACAAAAACATTAAATTATGTAACACAATTTTCTAAATTTAATAATCGTGAAACAATTGAAAGTGTACGAAAGTAAGTTAAATAAAAAAAAGTGTTTATTATTGATAAATTTTATTATTATTTTTTTCAGCCTTTTAACACAAAAACGATTTCATAATTTTGAATTAGCTTCATTAGCTAATTTATTACCGGATACAGCAGAAGAAAGTAAAGCATTATTACCAAGTTTAGATAGTCCACGTTTTACAGAAGAAGAATTACAACAATTATTAGATGAAATACAATCGAAACGAAGTTTTCAATCATAAACTAATGAGTATATGAATGTTCTTTTTTTTCCTATTTTATTTATGTTCATACTAATTTGTACAAAATATATTAATTCTAAATAAGTCTCTTTTTTTTCTTTCTTCATTGTATCATTTGAATGGGTAGCTAAACCACATGAATGGAGTGGATTCTCATTAACATATTTCTGCGTAAGGTAGTTCTTTCCAGTTCCCCGCATTGCTCGGACGTTCCATGTGCCTATAAAAATTGTTGCTCTGGTTGTTAGAAGGGGCATTGGCCTCCTGGCTTCCGAAGGAACTCGGCTTTCACCATGAAGCGTCATAATTCTTCTAAATGAAGACATTCTAACTCCCAGGGCAGAGTTTACATTTTTTGAATTATTTTTTCTGGTTAGCGTTTTTTTATCGAGTTAGTTTTTTATGGGATGAGGTCGCTAACTCCATGCCCAACCCTCCTCCTTTACCCGGGCTTGGGACCGGCAGTAACTCTATAAGAGCTACAGACGGGGCTGTTCTTCAAAACGAAGAACAGCAATCCAATCACTCTTCATGGTGAAGCTCTGGAATCGTTCACGTACTTGAGAAGCATCATCGATGAATAAGGAGGTTCGAATGCAGACGTAAAGGCGAGAATTGGCAAAGCAAGGGCCGCATTCCTACAATTGAAGAACATATGGGACTCAAAACAACTTTCAACCAATATCAAAGTCACAATCTTCGATACGAACGTCAAGGCAGTTCTACTGTACGGAGCTGAAACTTGGAGAACTACAACAACCACTGTCAAGAAGGTACAAGTGTTTATAAATAGTTGTCTATTCAAGATACTCAACATCCATTGACCAGATACCATTAGTAAAAGCCTATTGTGGGAGAAATTAGGAAAGGACGATGGAAATGGATAGGACATACATTACGCAAATCGTCAAACTGCATCACGAGGCAAAGCCTAACTTGGAATCCTGAAGGGAAGCGAAAAAGAGGAAGGCCAAAGAACACATTACATCGGGAAATGGAAGCAGATATAAAAAAGATGAATAACAACTAGAAGGAGCTGGAAAGGATTGCTCAGGACAGTGTTGGATGGAGAACGCTGGTGAGCGGCCTATGCTCCTTCACGAGGAGTAACAAGCGTAAGTAAGGTAGGGATGACACTGCCTTAGGTGTTCAAATTGAAGGAAATAACTTTCTCAGGAGTTCACTCATTAAACCTTCCACTCAAGAGGGGGGTTGATGAGCGAATACACAAAGCACTGAGATAACGTCCATTGTGACCAAAATGGCTACAGAAGCAAATGAATTCCAATGGTCAAATAAGATCACAGGATAGATAGACATCATCCTCGATTGCAAAACATATGATTGAGACTAGTCATAAAATTGACATAAAATCAGTATTTATAGTGTTATACAAAAGCCTTTAAGGACTTAAACTAAGGTTTATTGAAGCCTTGGCTATACGGAAACTGACACACTTTTGTGCGTTCAAAAACAATTTGTCCTTACCCTGGTAATACTGATCTATTATTCAGAGTGGTAATCACATTGTGTAGTTCATTATTATCATTTTTTCTTTGTTACGGCTTATCTTTAATCTGTCTAGTTGACCTTTTAATTTTTGTATAAAGATGTCTTAACAAGTATATGTGTGACCGGATTGTTTGAAATGTATTGCGCAAATATATCACATAATTCTGGTAAACTTCGTCTTCTCATTGCATTATCGCAATTGACCAAATTAAGTCTATACGGCATTCGTCTTCTCAATGTCCCGAAGGCAATGCACACTACTGGTTCGGGATCAGGACTTTCGGTATTCAACGACCCTGTTTAAGCGCCAGAAGTTTGGTCTGATATGATTGGGTAATTTTGTGGTACCGTTATTGCCGAAATTTGTGTATTTCATAAAAGACTTAAAGAAAAACTATTCCACCTTTTGATTTATCATTCAGTCATATTGACATAAATAACTTCATGCCTGAGGAAACGGGTACTAAGTAATGATGGCAAATCAATTGGTGAAGTAGTGGAACCTTATCAGTTGAGATGGCTGGGACATGTGTTACGTATGCCCAACCACCGACGTGCGATGTCTTGTGGTGTAGGGGTAGGTTGGAAGAAAGTTAGGGGCGGCCAGGACGAAACATGGCATGAGGTCACTGAAAAGTGGACTGAGCCATGTTAATATATCTACACCTACTACCTGATTGGGATCCACGAGATGATAGCAATCGATGGTTACAGACCTTGAATGTGACGTGGCTCAAAATCGTTTACAATGGAGCAGGTGCATCCACTCTTTGTGTTCTCTCAAGTTCTAATCTGAATTCACATCCCTTATTTTTTTCTCTTTCTAAATTTACTTCACTGGATTACATTTCTTGAATAACATCTTCAAACCCTAATCTTCCCGATTACTGCTTACACTCTCGCTACCTCTACCACTATGGGATTTGAATCGACAACTGCATTCCTGTGCTAATGCGATATGGCAATTCGAACTGATATTCGTACGAAGTTTCATATTGTTATTAACTGACTGATCTAGTTGTTAAGAGCCAATAGTACTACCTGGTTAAGTAAATAAAACGGGCAGAATGGATAGCGGAACGGATTCCTAAACACGATACATTTTGATATAATATGAATTACATGATAACATAATCTTATTTTAGAAATATTATACACAAATATATATATATCATAATATGAGGAATTGTACAAATAGAGGAGTAATGTAGATTTTTGTTCGCCTAGTTCTTTTTTCCTCCTTAATAAACATCAAGGATGGTGTGTAAATGACAAAGTATACGGATAAGACATATGTGATTATAATAATGATAATAGTTAAAATGATCATTGTAATAATAGTTAAATACCAATAAAGAATTCATAGTATTAATAGTAATAATAATAAGTATATAGATAGATGGGTATGAGAAAATATACATCAATATCTTTGAAGGAGAAGTACAAAAGAGAAAAATACAAACAGACAGACATGCACACACACACACACTTTTTATTCGTTATGTAGTTTGACTTTCAGTAACAACACATTTATCATTTGATGTTTTCATAGTTTCTAAGAATTCTAAAGGTAAATCAACATTGGAACAAGGTAAATCAGAAGCTTCAGTACTATTTGGACTAGAAACAACACTTTGATCTGATTCTATAGGATGTATTGACTCTTCCATATTATCACTTGTTGTTGTTGCTGCCGCTTCACATGTACTACGATGTGATTCAAATCTATGAAAAGAATGCAGAAATCACAAAAAGGAGTCAAATTATATCTGTATATTAAATGAAAGCTAGAATTATCTAAACCTTGTTATATATGATAACTTTACGCAGTGATTAAATATATATTTGTGATATCTGATCGCAGGTTTAAATAATATAGAGGATGAAGGTAGAATAGTTATTTCAATCAAAAGAGATTTGATTATGTCATTCATGTGATTCTATGTGAAATGACAATATGATGGTGGATCTGAATAATGTGCAACTTGTAATATGAATGAGTAGAGTTGAGATTTATGTGTATGAAATGGGTAAAGCTAAGTGTAGTTGTTTGGATAAATGCTCAGGTAAGGAAGTTTGGCATGATATGAAATGCTCCAGGTACTTACTTTTCTTCACACAATTTAGCGTATATCACACAACCAGTGATAGTCCGGAAACACTGTATAGCTGTTGGCATACATCCTAGCACGAAACAAATATCATGGTAATGATCGATGATCACGTCCTGATGGCTGAGGAATATAAACTGTTGGATCTAAACTCAATGGTCTAAAGGTCCTAGGTTTGATCTTCAATGGGGTTGGTATGTATTATTGAGGAGTCCCAGCTGCTTAGAACACCCAGGCTTCGCATAGTTTTTTTACCTCAAGTATTCTATACTACGAAAAATGCAAAAATATTCGAATTTGTAGAAATTCAATAGATGAGGACTGCTGCAAAAGGTGAGAATGTTAATGGTCATTCATATATCGCTGGTATGCTTTACAGCGAAACATCTATATACACGGTACAAGACTACCAGCTCTAGCTATAAGTGAATCCGGACGTCGTACTACTAAAAAAAACCAAATTATTAATAAAATCAACTGGAAGTCATATTAAGCGGTTCAAAATTGCTTGAGAAAGTTAGTCAAACCAGGTCTTTGCAGCATGAAATCGAATAAAAGATGACAGAATATTATCTAAGGGGCAACCATACCATGAGGCAGTCCAGTTATGTGTTACATGATGAACACAAGTTTTAAAAGTGGAAAACATGTAGGTCGCAAGTACTTAATATAAGAATGTTGAAACAGTGGATTCATCCAATCACTCCATCAAATCTATACAATTCTTGAATAATGTTAAGAAGTTTCAAATCAACAACGAAGAACTGATGCTATCCTTCAATGTAGCGAATCATAGCACAGCAAACTATCACTGCTTCTTCCTCATCAACGACACAAATCTACCAAAGTGAACAAAGCTCCAATTATAAGCTTAATAGGACTCATCGATTTAGGAAGGCTTAACAATATGCTTCCAATCAAACAATAAAATCTACGAACAAACGAGAGGGATACCAATCGGATCACTAATATGAGGACATACTGCAGAAGTAATGATGCAAAGACCGGAATCCCCCATCTTACCAATGATCAAGCCAAAAATATGAATTCATTTTGTCGACAACACATTCGTCAGAGTTGAAAAAAGAGCTGAAAAACACCTACATTTCATCAACAACGTCTTCCATGACATAATAACTCACAATGGAGAACGAGTCGAAAAACAAACTATAATTCTTCCATGTACCAATCACCAGAACCGACACAGAAAGTTCGGAGACTCAAGTATATCGGATACCAACCCACACCGATCAAATTCTTAATTACAGTAACAACAAACCAAGAATTAATTAAATCGATTGCCTACAAACTTCATTCAGGAGGGTGAGAACACAATGCAGCAATGAAAAATATCTAATGACTATCCTTCAAAAAATGGCTACCCATATAGATTCATAAAGAATATCAACCCGATACATCGGCAGAAACGAAATCAAGTATACTAATAAACAAACGGATCAT